ATAAACGTGTACCACCATTCTCAGCTCATAGTTTACTCCTGTAACTCACACTGAGTTTGACCTGAAGGGATAGGAAACCCACAAGCAGTGTATCAGTGACTTCTGAACTCTGAACTCTGTAAAGATACAAGGATTTCCTTGGTCAGTATTTTCTGTTGTTGTTGCCTTGAAAGGCAGTAATTGGAAAACTTAAAGATCCACATCTTAAAGATCCACAATGCTCACTGAAAAAGCACATGCCTGTTATCCCTCCCACCCGGGAGCTAGAGGCAGAAGAATCAGAAGTTCAGAGTCACCCCTGGCTACATAGCAAGTTTAAGACCAGCAGGGATACATAAGACTCTGTTTCCAGAAAGAAAGAAAGTAAAAATTTTAATTGAAGGATATAAGTTAGGTATTTTCTCTTTAGTTCTTTGATCAAATAATTATTGAGTATTATGTGTTACTCTGATAGTACAAAATTAACAAATAATTATAGAACAATAATTAACAAAGACTTAAAAACAAACAAAAACCACACCAGAACGCTGTGTCATCATGCCTGGTTTAGGTGGTGTCGGGATCAAACCCAAAGCTTTGTGTGTGCTGAGTCCACACTTTACCAACTAAGCCGTACCCCAGGACCTGACAAAGACTAACTGAGCTTCAATTTGTGATGGATTTATCTATAGATTTCTGATATTTTCAAATGTTGGTTTCATGTTCTATTACTTTGTTCTTTAGTTTCATACCTTACTGTTTTTGTTAGACCACCTGGAATTGGATTAAGTAAAGGAGATAGCCGTTAATTTGAATCACTTTTTTTTCCCCCGAGACAGGGTTTCTATGCAGCCTTGGCTTTCCTGTCACTCACTATGTAAACCAGGGTATTCACAAACTCAGAGAGATCTCTCTGCCTCTGCCTCCCGAGTGCTGGGATTAAAGGCGTGTGCTATTACACCCAGCCCACATATTTATTTTAATGAAAATATATATATATATATTATATATATATATATATGTAATTTTTTAGGAGTATCTAACTATCAAGTTGAAGAAGATATAGGGAAGTTGAAGTCCTGTCTTACTGGCTTTCTTCAGGAATATGGGTTATCTGTTATGGTGAAAGATGATTACGTCCATGAATTGTGAGTATTCTTTAGATCATATAGGAATGATCTCCCTGTTTGTGGTTAGACTATTAAAAATTCATACCTACCTCTTTTCCTGTAGTTGCCGATATGGAGCTGCTGAGCCACACACCATTGCTGCATTCCTGGGAGGTGAGTTTTATAGATGAAATGACTTATTTGTTGTTATAGAATACAGTTACTATTTGTATTAGCTTTTTTAATTAGGGAGGTCAGTGAAGCAGGTTGTTAAATTTAGGTTAATCATTAGCTCTCCACACTGTTCTCCTTACTCTCTGGCTTTCCCATGGCCATCCATATTAAACTCCTGAAGAGTCTAATGGAAGGCTGCTTTTCATCATGAACCTCACGTAACCTTCTGAGCACAAGTACACACACAGACCTTCCTTCCTCTTCTCCCTGTCTTGTCTTCCTGCCCCAACAGTTCTCAGAAACAAAGACAAACTTCTCTGAGACGTTCCCTAGACCTTTGTACCTAAGGGCCCAGTTCAAAACTGCCATTTCTGTCATAAAAGCTCCTTTATTCATTTGTTCCCATCATTTCTTCTTTGAGTTGGTTAAGTGAGTTACTGTATGGGTACCTTATAAACATGCGAAATTTATTTCTTACAGTTTTCAAAGATTCAAATGAGGATGCCAACACATTAGGGTCTGTTGAGGTCTCACTGCCAGAATCATATGTGGTGTTTTTTTCTTACTGTGTCCTCACACATTATTCTTTTAAAAATGTCAAAGGAAATCTGCAGGATCTCTTTTATAAGGGCATAAACCCATGTATAAGGGCTCCACCCTCATGGCCTAATCCCTTTCCAGAAGCCCTACCTTCTAATACCATTGCATTGAGAGTTTTCAACATATTAATGGCAGAGAGGGGGAGCACACACAGTAAGTGAGTAATACCTTAAAAAAATCCTTCTCCTGCCTATTACCTCCAATAGCTTGAGCTATTTGCTTATGACATTTTCCTTTCTAGATGATTGTTTTGAAGGCGAAGGCAGTTTGATTAATAGTGTTCAGAATGCTAATAATGCAGATCTAAGAAACGATATTTTAAGCAAACATAAATTAAAGCCTGATTCTTGATAATTTATTTGAATAAAATCATTCTTTTATGTCTAAATAGTAAAGTAATCTGAAAATTCACAGAAAAGTGCAAATTATTATTTATTCAGATCTAGGCCAGATTCTGAGAGACACAATCAGAGAGGTCTAACGAGTGTAAATAGAAGAAGGCCTTTATGTCCTGTAATGATTCTGAACCTTCGTCTCCGAGGCTTTCCCTGCAGAAACTTGAGCCACTTCCCCTGTGCGCTTCCTCTTTTCTTTTCCACCTTGGCACTTAGTCGTTTTACATACTGTACACTTCGTTTATTTTTAAGCTGTCTTTTCTCTTGCTGTTAAAGAGAAAGACCCAAGTGAGTAAACAGCAGATACTTTTGTCTCTTGTGCTCTGCTTTGTCTGTGGTGCCTAAAGAGGATTTGGTGTATAGTAGAGTCTTAAGTCTCACATCCTCAGCATTTTAGAAAGAAGCTGCTTCAGTTAAGAAGAGGGTTGTTTTTTTTCTTGGTGGAATTTTGCCGTTTATTTTGTGTTTTGAGTACTTTATAGGAGCTCTGTGGTATTTAGTGTAGAGACTTTTTAAATTACAAATGAATTTCAAAGCTGTGGATGTAGCTCAGTGGCAGAGTGCTTACCTAGCATTAAGTCCCTGGGTTTGATCCTCAACACACACACACACACACACACACACACACACACACACACAGAGAGAGAGAGAGAGAGAGACAGAGGGAGACAGAATGTGAGAGAGACAGATTGATTGATTGATTTAGAGCAAATATGCTTCTATCCTTTTTTACTATAAAGGCAGAATAGATAAAGGTAGAATTCCAGTGCAGTGGTGAGAGGAAGACCAACCAGAGGAGGAAATAGGGAGATGGGGAAGGGCAGGGTGGGGACATACAAGAACAAAATATATTAATAGGTATGTGTGAATACATCCCAATGAAACCCATTTCTTTTTATGTTAATAGAAATATTAATAAAGCACACACACACAACCCTTGGATGCAACAGAAGGGCTTTCTTTGAAGAGGATCTTTTTTTTGTGTGTGTTTTTGGTTTTTTTGAAACAGGGTTTCTCTGTGTAGCCCTGGCTGTCTTAGAACTCACTCTGTAGACCAAGCTGGCCTTGAACTCTTGAGATATGCCTGCCTCTGCCTCCCAAGTGCAGGGATTAAAGGTGTGCACCATCATCTCCTGGCTGAAGAGGATCTTTATGCCTCTTTATATCCTTTCAAAAAGTTCCTTCAACCAAACTACTATCTAAACTTTGCTTTGTCCATTCACTATATCCTGCCAGCTTTCTAAATCACCATAATTAAAAATACCTTATTTTTAAAATTTGTTGCTCATTATTTCATTGGGTAATTCCTAAAATGAGCCTTCTATTTCCTTTAATAACATAGTTATAAAGATTTATAGTATTTTGCAGGGCATGATGGTGTAGAACTTTAATCCCAGCACTTAGGAGGCAGAGGCAGGAGGATCTCTTGAGTTTGAGGCCAACCTGATTTATATAGTGAGTTCTAGGACTGTCAGAGCTGTATAGAGAGACCCTGTCTCAAAAAAAAACAAACAAAAATAATTATAGTCTTTTATTTTGTTATGACTCAGTAAGCTATGTCTGTTTTGGATTACTTTTAAACAACTTTGATTTCTTTATGGACTTATTTTGTTGTTTCTATGGTGTATCTTTTGCTGTATCTATGGTGTATTCTGTATACCAAGGTCTCATGTACCCCAGGCTGGCCTCCAGCTCGTTTTGTAACTGAAACTAGCCATGAACTCATGATCGTACTGCCTCTACTTCCCAAGTGCGATGAATATAGTCATGCACTACCACACCTGGTTCTTTTGTTTGTTTTTTTGAGACAGGGTCTCAAAAATATTGGCTGGCTTAGAACACATTATATTTAGCAGGCTGGCTTTGAACTCAGAGATCCACTTGTCTCTGCTTCCTGAGTGCTAGGATTAAAAGCATGCACCACCAGGCCCATTCTGGCTTATATTATCTAACTCTTCAATTTTACTGTTTTCAAAGAGTTACTTTTCTCCTTTTTCCTACAGGAGCTGCTGCTCAAGAAGTTATCAAAATAATCACCAAACAATTTGTAATTTTTAATAATACTTACATCTATAGTGGCATGTCACAAACTTCTGCAACTTTCCAGTTGTAGAATAAGCCCCACGTGTAATAATAGGTTGATGGTTGAAACTGTAATTGTCTTCATATTGTGCTGTAGTTGTAAAAATCTGTTAAAGGAGAGCAGTCATTGTTTCCTTAATAAACATTTTTCTCATTTGTAATATATTCTTGTTGTTTGGGGTGGTGGGGAGAAAGCAGTCATTTTCTTGAAGAATAAAAGCTATCTCTTTATAACTTAGTTCATTAATACTGGCTTGCTATTTTGTAGTTACGTATCATAGACATATTTGTTTCATTAGAGTGAAAAAAAATTAACCATCTTAACCAATTGAAGATGTGGATTTTAGCTGTGAACATTTTAAGATCATTATTTGTTAAAATAGAATTTTTTTTTTTTTTTTTTTAAGTTTTTCGAGACAGGGTTTCTCTGTGTAGCTTTGCGCCTTTCCTGGAACTCACTTGGTAGCCCAGGCTGGCCTCGAACTCACAGAGATCCGCTGGCCTCTGCCTCCCGAGTGCTGGGATTAAAGGCGTGCGCCACCACCGCCCGGCTAAAATAGAATTTTAAAAGAGGCATTTCAGGATGTGTAATTTTATCAGAAAACAAAACTATTTCCTTATAGTGTCATTCATTATATATAACTAAATATTTTACCACTATACTTGTTGAAATTGCATAGGGTTGTCCCATTTGTAAATTTCATTTTAATTAATAATCAGATTGGAATAATAGCATTTACCATCATGTTAGATGGGAAAGAAAATTCCGTAAGATGAGGAATAGCAGCAAACTAGAAACACAGAAATGGAAACAGGGCTCAGTAGCTGGCTGACCGTATCAATATTTATTAATGTGACTGTCAGTATCTTAAGACCCTTAATCTGCCTGCTGTATAATCATCATCAAAGGCAGTCTCCTGTGTGAGAACCTGGTATATTTGACAGGAGTGGGGACAGCTGATAGGGCTTTTATTTTCTTGGATACTGGTGTGTCGTTTTTGCTTGGCTGCCTGTTAAGTGACTTTCCTACAGCATGGCCTGCCCTCTGACAGTACTTCACTTCATCTCCCAACACAGTCCTATTGGATGGATTCTGTTAGAAAACGTTACACCTAGACCACATTTAAGACTCAAGAGCTGTGGTTCTTGGGTCTACACAGTGAGAAGTTAGCTTGGCCAGAACCAAAAATTGTGGTTTAGGAATTCACCCCGTGACTGCTTTAGTGTAGTGAGAGTGTCTGTCCATGGAATGCCCAATGTAATTGAAGAAAGCCTGGCGTCAGGCAAGGTCGGGAGGGAGCAAAGGTTCCTTTCCAAGAAGGGAGTCCTAAATACTAAGGTGGTAAGGCTACATTACCCTCAAATTGTGACTTCCTCCACTCTAAAACCCGACACCACGCACTGGCCACCTTCCTCCCTCAGCACACTAGCGACCAGCCCAGCTGCTGCTATGAATGAGCGGAGGCTCTGGGTGCCCGCAGGTGCCCGGCCGGAAGTCCCGCCCAGCGGATGTCAACCTGGCTCGGGTTGGGTGGGAAACCCAGTCAGGCGTGGTAGTCCGGGTTCCCTCGGGGAAGAGCTGCTGCGGGGCTGACCAGCTTCGCGGCTCCAGGGTGAGGGCCACAGCCTCTGCCTCCCGGTTTCGGGGGTTGCCTCAGCTCAGCCCAACCTTGCCTGTTGCCTTCTGGGGCAGGTGGGCTCCTGCCCTCAGAGCTATGGTGCTGGCGTGGCCCTGCCCAACTGGCTCACCTCAGGGGACGGAGTGAGCCGAGGGCCAGGCCGCGCTGGCCACAACCTGTGTGAGAAAAGAGCGCCACGCCCTGAGTAGTCGGGCGTACGTCCGGTACGCCGGTGCCGCTGCCGGTGACCGCGGGGTGTGGACAGCGGCGGTCCCCAGGGCATTTCGTTTGTGAGAACCACGACAGCACCACGTGTCCCGGGAACCTCCACCGAAGCGCGAGCCTTGGGAACCGGGGGGTTGCCCCCGTGAGGCCTGCCAGAGCCGGGCTTGGGAGCAGTGCCCGGTGCCCCGCGGAGAACTGTGGAGAAACGCCTGTGGGACCGCCCGCCCTTGTCGTCAGCTCTTTAGGTGAGCCAGGCCGCGGCAGCCTGGAGCGAGAGACAGGCAAGGCAGCCTTAACGCTTGGAAAGATGATGGACGGGCAGGAGAACCTGGGCGAGGGTGAAGCTTTGGGCCCCCACATCCTATTCGTCCTGAACTGGTTCCTGTTACCCTCGGTTTACTGGGACCCGAATGAATGACTTATCCCTTAAAACTTTTGGAGCAGAATATTGACAGTGCAAGTTACACACTTGCCGTTTTGCTCCCATTAGAGATGCTTTCCACAATATATGATTCCGAGGCAGATGTCCACCTTGAACAACTTGCAAACAGTTAATGCCAGGATTTTCAGCTCTGCCAGCCCCACCCAGAAAGATGTTCTGTCTCTCACGGGGAGGGACAGAAACACAGGTTTTTGGGTTTTTTTTTTTTTTTTTTTTTTTTTTTTTTGGTTTTTCGAGACAGGGTTTCTCTGTGTAACTTTGCGCCTTTCCTGGAACTCGCTTTGGAGACCAGGCTGGCCTCGAACTCACAGAGATCCACCTGGCTCTGCCTCCCGAGTGCTGGGATTAAAGGCGTGCGCCACCACCGCCCGGCCAGGTTTTTGTTTTTTGTTTTTTTTTTTTTTTTTACACAAAGCTTTTGATGTGAATATTTTCTAGAGTAGCTAATTTCAGGAGCTAGGTATGTTGCTTAATGATAGATTTTTACCTTGAGTTCTATCCCTAGGACCAAAAAGGGTGGAGAACGATACTCAGCCAGTTTTTTTTTTTTTTTAATTTATTTTCTCTGCTAGTTTTCCTAGTAAAGTTTGCACTTGACCTTAGTGGTTTGGAGCAGTGGTTCTCAACATGTGGGTCGTGACTCACTTGGATTGCATATCAGATACTTACACTAGGATTCATAACAGTAGCAAAAATTACAGTTATGAAGTAACAACGAGATAATTTTGTGGTTGGGGGTCACCATAACATGAGGAACTGTATTAAAGGGTCGCAGCATTAGCAAGGTTGAAAAACACTGTTTTGGAGAGTAAATTGAGTAAAACCGGTAAGGATTGTGCTTTCTGTTATGTGAAAACGTTTTTGTGTTTTTGCTTTTTTCCCCTATGAGAACACAAATTATCACTCATCATTGGTGATAATTTGTATCTATTCACAAAATTGCTAAAAGCATTTCATAATTACTTTAATTGGCACATACTTTTGGCTTGGAAAATGAGCTATTTATAATTTTAAAATTTTCTTTTTGAAAACTACAACTGGTCCTTTACTGTAAATATTTATTTTTAATTATCTGTTTCCGTATGTATGAGTTAGCATACGTGTGGTTAGAAGGTAACCAGTGAGAGTCTTTTTTCTCCTACTATGTGGGTCCCAGGGATTGCCCATCCTTTGTGAGGATTTTGTTTTTGTTTGGAGACAATATTTTATTCTGCACCCTTCCCCCCTTTCTGAAGTTCCTGGCTGGCCTGGAACCTTATATATGTAGCTCACAGTTGTTGGATTTTCTTTTACTCTATCTCCATGTTGGGACACCAAAATGTTGTCGGTTGTTTTTACTCTTTTGGCTCTTTTACTCTTTTGGGGGCGGGGAGCCACCACTCAGCTCCCAAATAAATCACACATGGAGGCTTATTTTCTTATAAATGCTTGGCTTATTTCTTGTCAGCTTTTCTTAAATTCTGTCTACCTTTTGCCTCTGGGCTTTTTGTTTGTTTGTTTGTTTTGTTTTTTGAGACAGGGTTTCTCTGTAGCTTTAGACCTGTCCTGGATCTCACTCTGTAGACCAGGGTGGTCTCGAACTCACAGAGATCCACCTTTTCTTACTTCTGTATATTTTACTTTCACTCTTACTCTGTGGTGGCTGGCCACTAGCAATCTCCTCTCCTTGTTCTCTTGCTCTTCTTTCCCTCCCAGATTTCTCCTATTTATTCTCTCTGCATGCCAGCCCTGCCTATCCTTCCTCCTGCCTCACTATTGGCCATTCAGCTCTTTATTAGACCATCAGGTGTTTTAGACAGTAACACAGCTTCACAGAGTTAAACAAATGCAACATAAAAGAGTGGAACGCATCTTTGCATCATTAAACAAATGTCCCACAGCATAAACAAATGTAACACATCTTAAAATAATAGTCTACAACACAGTGTGGCTTCACACTCATGATCCTTCTGCCACCCGCTTTCCTGCCTGAAGATTACAGACATGCACCATCATGCCTAGAATATTTCATGCTTGCAAATTTTTTTTTAACATGGACTTCTCATGAATTTGTGTCTCATCCTTGTGAAGGAGCTGTGCTAATCTTCTCTGTATCTTTCCAATTTTAGTATATGTGCTACTGAAGCAAGCATACTGCCTAGAATATTTCTTAGAAGCTGATCTTACTAAAAATGCCCTGTCTTCTAGATGAAATATAAGGAAAAAAGACAAACATGGAAAGTGAGAACACAAAGAAAATACAAGGTGAGGAATCCGTGAATCAAGTAGTTGGATTAGTTTTATATATTTTATAGTTGTGTAATTGTATTTTTTTGTGTGTATCATATCTAACAGCCTCTAGAAAATGAAAAAATCATTCATCAATTTACATATATGACACTATCTCTGGGAGACATGAACAAACATCTACTTACCCCAGATAGGCAATTGCCAATAGACCAAAGTAAGGATATCGCCAGATCCAACTTGCCAGTGAGTTTACTGGAGTTACTTATAGGCACATTGTGTGGAGTTATTTACAGAAGCAGAAATGACTCAAAGGGAGTTATATCATCAAAAGTCCACCCCAGCATGAGTGACAGCTCATGAAAACTGCAGGCAGCTTGACAGGTTGTAAAGTATCTCTTTCAGGCAGCTCAGTTGATCTCTCTTCCAAGTAGTTTAATTAGTCTAAGCTTCTTTGAAGCAACTCTTGGTCTGATGTTTCTCAGCAGTCCTAACCCTTTATATAACCTTGGGAAAGGAGGGGCCTAGCATATGAGGTTAATATCAGGGACTTCTTGAATCTTCTAAGTTGTTTATTTCCTGACTTTTAAGGAGCCTTGTCCTGAGTCTGGTTTTTTTTTTTGGAAACAGGTTTCTCTGTGTAATAGTCCTGGCTGACCTGCAACTGTAGACCTGGATCTGTAGACCAGACTGGACTCAGAGATCCACCTGTCTCTGCCTCCCAAGTGCTGAGATTGATTAAAGGTGCACCACCATGCCTGCCTCTACCCCACTTTTTTGAGATAGGATTTCTCTGTAGTTCTGACTGTATAGGAACTCACAATGTAGACCAGGCTGGCCTTGAACTCACAGAGGCCTGCCTCTGCCTCCCAAGTGCTGAGATTAAAGGTGTGCACCACCACTGCCCTGCTTCCATACTGTATCTTAATGAGCTTTCTTGCAAGATGGTATATTAGCATGAAGGAAATTATTATGTCATAGCATACATATTGACACCTACTTTGTGCCTGTCATATAATTCCTGGCATAAAGAAGCAGACATGGGAAATATCATGCTGATACTTAGAGTGCCATATGAGCCAGGCATGGTAGATCATTGCCTTTAATCCCAGCACTCAGGAGCAGAGACAGATCTCTGAGTTCAAGGCCACTTGGTTTACATAGTTTTAGGCCAGCCAGGAATATATAGTGAGACTATTGGGGAGGGGGGACATAGATAGTTGATTTGCTTGGCAGAATATGAAAGAACAATGGTCCCTAGACACGGTGGCTCATTATTGTGAGGGTGCTGTCAGCAATATAGATGGATATGTTTGTGACTGTCTACAGTGTCAGAATTGGCTTTTTGAGTCAGGCTTTCATGTGGTCCAAGCTGACCTCAAGCTCATCATGTGGCATAGGATGACCTTAAACTTCTGATCTACCTGCTCCCAAGCCTCAAGTGCTGGGATTATAGGTATTTGCTGTAATGACTGTTTTGTGTAGTTTTGGAGATTGAAACTGGAGCTTTTGAAATTGAAACTAGGCAAGTGTTTTACCAACTGAACTATATCCCCAACCCAGAATTTATTGACTATCAGCAAGTTCACAAGGTATAATGGCTTCATTGGCATTGATTTGCTACATAGTGCCACTTTAATTAATAGCCTGCCCAGTCAAAACCAGGTTCTGTTGTTCCATTTTCAACTACTAATATTAACTCTCAGATCACACATTGCATATCACATAGTAAACCTGTTTGTCTATCTGACTACAAAAGGTTAAAGAGGCCTCAGCAGAATTCAAGAAGTTTTGTTTTGGGGTTTTTGTTTGTTTTTATTTTTATTCTTTATTTTTCAAGGCAGGGTTTCTCTGTGTAGCCCTGGCTGTCCTGGAACCCACTTTGTAAAGCAGGATGACCCTGAACTCAGAGATCTGCCTGCCTCCTAGTGCTGGGATTAAAGTCATGCACCACTACACCAGGCTTCAAGAAGTTTTAAAGAGGGCTGAGAAGTAGAAGCTGGGAAGCTGTATAGGGATGCAAAGATAATGAACGTGGCTCGAAGTCTGCTGTAGACCTTGCTGCTGCATAGTCAGGACATAGCAAGATTAAACCAGCCTGGGCCATATTAAGACTAGGTAGGTAGGTAGGTAGGTAGGTAGATAGGTAGCAGGCTAAAGCTATTCGGAGGTTGGTGAGATGGCTCAGTGGGTAGAGATCATTAAACCTGACAACGTGAGTTTGTTCTCCAGGATCCACATAGTAGAAGGAAAGAACCAACTCCCACAGTTATCTTCTGACCTCTACCCATCCCCATATATACTAATTTTAACAATTTTATGTATATGGCTATTTTGTTTGCATGTATATTCGCACCACTTGTATACCTAGTGCCCACAGAAGTTAGAAGGCTACATCAGATCCCCTGAAACTAGAGTTACAGACAGCTGTGAGCAGCCATGCAGATCCTGGGATCAATCTCAGAGGATGAACACAAATTCCTATTGAATATCTGGTTTGAAAATATTTCCTTCTAGATTGAGCTGCTTTTGCATTCTACATAAATCTACATAGCAGTTTTAAATTTTAAGCCAGGTATGATGGTAAGCATGCCTTTAATCCCAGCCCTGGAGAAGTAGAGGCAGGCAGATCTTTGCATGTTCAAGTCCAGCCTGGTCTATATAGTGAGACCCTGTCTAAAACAAACAAACAAAAAACAACAACAAAAACCAGCCAGATGGTGGTAGTGCATACCATTAATACCAGCACTCAGGAGGCAAGAAGACAGAGGCAGGTGGATCTCTATGAGTTTGAGGCCAGCCTGGTCTACAGAGCGAGTTCCAGGACAACCAGGGCTACACAGAAACACTGTCTTGGAAACAAAAACAAAACAAAACAAAATAAAAACTTAAAATTTTAGGTCTATTCTGTCATGTTTTCTTTTATTGCTTGTTGCTTTTGGTATTGTGTGCACTTCAGTTTTTGTTTCTTTCTTTGAGGATTGAAGAAACTAGGTTGCTCAGCCCAAAAAAGGTTAAATCAAGATGAAATGTGATAATTGTATATGAAAGAAGGTACTTTGGCTAAAAAGGGAAAGAGCACACGATAGGAAATCTTTTTAAAAAAAAATTATTTATTTATTTGTATTTTATGTGCATTGGTGTTTTGCCTACATGTATATCTGTATGAGGGTGCTGGATCCTCTGTAACCAGAACTATAGACAGTGTGAGCTGCCATGTGGGTGCTGGGAATTGAACCTGGGTCCTCTGGAAGAGCAGCCAGTGCTCTTAACCTCTGAGCCATCTCTCCAGTCCCATGATAGGAAATCTTAAAGTCTGAGGAAGAAGTGCTGAAGGGAATGGAGGAGTAAGTCCTACATAATGCCCAGAACTGAAAAGTACTATACCCTATTTGAAATTTTCTTTGGCGTGTTGTTAATGTGACATTAATATCCATACAAACTTACTATCTCGTTGATTTGTTAATGTATACAATAATCATGAATAAATGTTGGCTTTTGCCCATAGTCAACTCAGTAATAACCTTTGTACTATATATTGTTCCTAACAAATTGCATAACGGGGCTGGAGAGATGGCTCAGCAGTTAAGAGCACTGGCTGCTCTTCTAGAGGACCCTGGTTCAATTTCTAGGACCCTGGTTCAATTTCCAGCACCCCACGGCAGCTCACAACTGTCTGTAACTCCAGTTCCAGGGATTCTGGTATCCTCACACAGACATACATGCAGAAAAAACACCAATGCACATAAAAACTAAATTTAAAGAATTGCATCACAAATTGTCTCATTGAAACAAATTGCCAGGTAATTTTTTTAAAGTAGAAGACTAAATAGTGATTGATATGTCATAGATTTTTGTAGTATGTGCCTTTTTATTTTTAAGTCTACCATTGTAAATGTTAGTTCAAGACTTATGTCAAAGAAGGCAAGATGGCTCAGCTGGTAAAGGCTCTTGCTGCCACGTCTGACAACCTGAGTTTGATCCCTGGGACCCACATGGTAGAAGAAGAGAACAGATTCCTACATTATCCTCTGACTTCTGCATGTGCCTCCTTACAAATAAATAAATGAATGAATAATTTAATGTAATAAAATATTTTTAAAGCCAAAATAAAAGAAATGAAAACTTTAAAAAACAAAACAACACCTATAAATCATTTAATTTACCGAGTAAAAGGATTTGAGTTTAGTTTGATATGTTATATTGACTGACTTTCAATATAACATGTCTTTCAAATAAGAAATCCATGTTGTATTCCTTGAATAAACCAACTTGTGCAATGATATATTGGTTTTTTGTTTGTTTGTTTGTTTTGTTTTGTTTTGTTTTTGTTTTTTTCGAGACAGGGTTTCTCTGTGTAGCTTTGCGCCTTTCCTGGAACTCACTTGGTAGTCCAGGCTGGCCTTGAACCCACAGAGATCCACCTGGCTCTGCCTCCTGAGTGCTGGGATTAAAGGCGTGCTCCACCACCGCCCGGCCTGATATATTGTTAATATACCATTATTAATATATTGTCAACTTACTAAAATATATTTTTTTTACATGTATGTTCATGAGGGATATTGGTCTATATCTTTCTAATGGTTTTGGTTTTGATACAAAGGTAATGCCTGTAGCATGAATCTTAAAGAGTCTTATTAATAAAATCAAACCTGAGCCAGGTATTGGGGTGAATGCTGGAAGATCAGAGAAGCAGAACAAGCCACAGCTACTTCACCTTGCCAATTCCTCAGCTGATCCTGTTTCCTCAGACTGGAAGCCTCTGAGTCCTCATCCAGAATGGGTCTCAGCTGAACTGCTGCTCAAAAGCCTAGAAGCTTAATCAGCCAAATGCTGCTAGTTCCTGGTCTCCATGCCTTATATACCTTTCTGCTATCTGCCATCACTCCCTGGGATTAAAAGCTCACTTCTTGGGATTAAAGGTGTGAGTCACTATGCCTGGCTGTTTCCAATGTGGCCTTGAACTCACAGAGATCCAGAGGGATTTCTGCCTCTGGAATGCTAGGATTAAAGGTGTGAGTGCCACCATTTTCTAGCCTCTGTGTCTAGTGGCTGTTCCGTTCTCTGACCCCAGATAAGTTTATTAGGGTGTACAATATTTTGGGGAACACAATACCACCACAAATGCCAACCTCAAAATAAGTTGGGAAGCCAAGCATAGTGGTGTGCCCCTGATTACTGAAGAGGCTGAAGCATGAGGATCTTAAGTTTGAGATCAGCGTATAGTATAGTAAAACCTACTTTTAATTAGGAAATAAGCTTTGAGGTACTGTTTAACCTTTTAGATACTATTTCTTCTTTAAATGTTTGGTGGAGTTTTCAAATGAAATCATCTGAAAATGGAATTTTCATTGTGGGAAGCTTTGTAACTGTGATTTCAGCTTCTTTCTTAAATATAGTATTACTCAGATAATCTGTTTTTGGATGTGGGTGGATGATTTACATCTTTGAAAGCAATTTTTTTCTATTTCATCTAAGTCATTGAATCTGTGTGAAATTGTCCATAATACTTCCTTTTGAATATCTTCAGACTCTGTAGTGCTTATTTATTTATAATATCTCTCTCTGTAGCTTAGGCTCAACTGGAACTCACTATATAGCCCTTAAATTTGTGGAAATCCTTCTGCCTCAGTCTCCTAAATGATGGGATTATAGGTGTGAGCCATCATACCTGGTTCTGCTCTCATTTAATATTGGTAATTTGTGTCTGTACTCATTTATCAAATTAGTCTGGCTAGAGAATTATCAGTTTTATCGATCTTTTTAAAGAACCTTCTCTTTTTAATTTTTAAATTTATTTTTATGTGTATAGATGTTTTGCTTGCATGTATATTTGGCCATGCCTGATGCCTGAGTGAAGTCAGAAGACAGCATTGGATCCCCTGAGACTAGATTACAGACAGTTGTGATCTGTCATGTGTGGATGTTGGGAATTGAACCTGGTCCTCTGGAGGGCAACCAGTGCTCTTAACCACTGAGTCATCTCTTTGGTCTCACTCTCTTTCATTTTTCTGTTTCACTGACTTCAGCTTTTGTCTGTATAGTTTTGTTTTTCTCCTTGCTTACTTTAGGCTGAGTTTGCTCTTTTTCTAGTTTCTTAAGATGGGAGCTAAGGTCATTGATTTAGCAACCATTTTCTTTTCTAACATAGGCATTTAGTACTAGACATTTCCTCATAAATATGCTTCATTAGCATCCTATAAATTCTAATATGTTGTATTTTCATTTAAAATATCAGTTCACTTAAAATATCTTCAGTATATCTTTCTTAGATTACAAAGCAAATATATGCTTATTATTTTAAAAACATTTCAAAGGTGTGCAATTATGAAATAGAATTTGAATTATTGACCTTTGAAAGAAAACTGTTTTTAAAATAATTTTTCTCCGGTAGAAATGAAGACTGACCTGAATTTACTGTTAGAATGTCTGAAGTATCACATGGGCAACCCTTTGTCACAAAAGGAAGTTTTGATCACTATTCATTCAGTTTGTCAACAAAACAGTAAGAAATAATAATGAACTTTATTCATAATTCTATTATTTTTCTTTTTTCTTTTCCTTTCTCTTTCCCTCTTTCTCCTTCCCTCCCTCCATCTCTCTCTCTCTGTCTATGCTTCCCTCTCCCTCTCTTCTTCCTCTCTCTCTCTTTCATCTCATTTCCTGAAGTAACTACACAGGCTGGTGTCTAACTCTTGATCCTCCTGACAGTCTCCCCAGCACTGGGACTGCACGCATGTACCACCACAACCCATGACCCACTCTGATTCCAGTTTTGTACTACTGTAATATACTAATATGCATGGCTGTTTCTCTTCTACTTAATGTATGTTATATTACTCTATCCATTTGATTGTCTTATCCTTAACAGTATAATCAAAGTAATTTTAATTTCTATCTTGTTTTTATCTGCAAACCCTACAGGTGATGCAGGTGTTTATTTCCGGGAAATTGGTGGTTTGGTGTTTGTAAAAAATCTTGCAAAGTCAAGTGAGCATAGCATGGTAAAAGAAGCAGCCTTATACACATTAGGATCTATTGTAGAAGAAAATGGTAAAATATAAAATTTTATGTCCTTAATTTTAAATACTTAAAATGTTTTCTCTTTATTTAAAGGTCAATGCCACCACACCTGGCTTGACTCTCATTTTTTAGGGTTATTTTGTTTGTTTCCAATGGAGTTCTTTTTTCTTTTTTTGAGTCAAGGTTACTATAAAGCACAGGCTGGCCTTGAATGCAAAGTTCTCCTGTTTTTGCTTCCTAAGTATTGGGATTGCAGCATGCCTTGTGTTATTTTTGAGCTAAGAAGATTTTGCACCTCTAAAAGTCTTCATAAATATCATAGATATTGCCTGACCCTCTGTTTTCCAAAGTACATATCTGAATTTTTTTAAGTTTTCTTCTTGCTTTGTTTTTTCTAGTCTTCTCACTTGGTCTCACTTTTTACTTTACTCGGTCTGATTTGCATTTTTTATTTGGTTAGGATTTTATTGGCAATTCTAGAGTATTTTAATGTTTGCTTTGGAGCTTAGACCAAGTCATTTTGATTAAGATAGTGCTGATTTGCGACTGGCTACCTGGCTCAGTAGTTAAAGGTGCTTGTCTAAGTTTGATGTATGGAACTCATATGAAGGAAAGAAAGAAATAACTCCCATAAATTGTGCTTTGACCCATAAGAGCATTGTGGCATGTCTGCACCTGTGGGTGGGCACACACTCATGCATGTGTGCATACACACAAGTAAATAAATAAATGTAATTTAAAAAATTTTTTTAAGGGGTGCTGGAGAGATGGCTCAACGGTTAAGAGCATTGACTACTCTTTCAGAGGACCGGTGTTCTACTCCCAGCAACCATATGGCAGCTCAGAGCTGTCTGTGACTACAGTTCCAGAGGACCCAACACCCATGGCAAAGCACCAATGCATATAGAATAAATAAAAAAATTTAAAAAAAATGCTCATTTGGTCTGTTAAGCACATATCAAGTTTTCATAAATTTTATTGTTTCTAATATATGTCAGTTAAATGACATCTAGTTAAGAAGCATCCTTAGTTCAACAACTTTGTATTTTGTTCCGTGTATTTTTGTGCTAATATATTAAAATGAAAATTGTATTTTATGTTTCAGTTTACTGTCAGCAAACTTTGTGTACTTCAGAATTATTTCAAGATTTAACTTTGCTCTTATCTAATGATGATTCAAACACAAATTTGAAAAGAATGTCCATCTATGTTCTTTTGGTTCTGGTTTCAAATAATAGTAAGTATGTTCTCTAATGAATGTTTAAAAATATTTTATGGAATATTCACTAATACTTTTATTCTAGTCATTCTTGTTATATAGGTGCCTTTATTTTTTTAGACAGTTTCACTATGTAGACTATGGAGATCGACCTGCCTCTGCTTCCCAAATGTATTAGTGACTTTATAATCTCATTAACATGCAAGAGCTCTAAGGAAGAAATTAATAGTATATGTTAATCACTTGATATTTATTAATTTTAAGAAATAGTAAAGTGATTTGTACTACTTAATCTTTAAAAAGAAAACAAATATTTAATAAATTGGTTGACTTTTCACTGAACTGATCATTTTGTTGTAAGATTTACTGTATTAGACCCCAATGGCATTAATCTTGGGATAATTTTAGATTTATTGAAAAGCTGAAAATATAGTATAAGTGTCCATGTGTACCTGTTAGGACTTGGCGTGTGTATGTTTGTACATATGCATGTGGAGTGTGCTTGGTGCAGAAGCTGGAGATTGATATGGGATATCTCCCTCAATCAGTTTCCACCTCTTGTTTTTGAGACAGGGACTCTCACTGAATCTGACTAGACTGACTGCCCAGCAAGCCCCAGGGATCAGACACAATGTACTGTGCCTGGCTTTTTATTAATTTTTTACATGAGTGCTGAGGATCAAACTCAGTTCCTTATGCTGCCACTTTACTGACTGATCAATCTACCCAACTTCTTCATTTTTTAAAAACTTCCTTCATTTAATTCTTGAAATTGTTAGGTACTTGAATTGCTTCTAGATTGTTTTTTCTACTTTGGAAAACCTGAAAAAGATTTGTATTTTTTCTGCTTTGGAGATTCTTTTCATATAGTAACAGAACTATAACTAAAGCATTTTATAATTTTTAGAGGAAAAATAAAGCTGTAAGTTGCTAAGCATAGTATATTTTCCATAATAAAATGGCTTGTAGAGTTTTTTAAAAAATCAAAATTTTATGTGTATGAATGTTTTGCCTATGTGTATATCTGTACACTAACTATGTGCATGCCTGGTATCCACAAAGACCATAAGAGGACATCAGATCCCTTGGAACTGGAGTTGTAAGCCACCATGTGGGTGCTGGGAATTGATCCCAGGTCCTCTGGAAGAATAGAAAGTTCTCTTAACTGCTGAGCCATCTCTCCATCCCCTTGATTGTAGGTTTTCTTTTTTTCCTACTGTAATTCTGTATACTTTGTAATACTTTAAAGTAGCTTACAAGCTAATTAAAATATTTTAAATGTCTTAATTTCTGTAAAATTATTTTTAAGGTTATATTCATGTAATATATGGCTATTTTTAAAGGGAATGGACAAACGCTTGTAAGAGAAACAGGTTGTATTGAAGTTCTGTCACAGTTGTTCAGGTAAGTAAAAAAAAGTCTTATTATTCATTGTTTAGGACATTAGTGCATTTATAATAATTTGCTACCTTTTCTTTTTAACCCAATAGGACAGTTCTTTCAAATTATGAATTGAATTTGTCAGATAACAATGTTTTCCAGAGTTATCTGTTGTGGTCTTCAGTGTGTAGTACTCTGTGTGTCTGTGTCAACAATCCTCAAAATGGTAATTATTTCAACTATTTAAATACAAATATAAAAACAAATGGTGACTGTTATTCTGCAAAAGTCTAATTAAAACATGGTTGGCTTTCCTCCTTTCAGATGAGAATCAAATACTTTGTTGTTCACTTTTTCCATATGCTAATGAATGGCTAATGAATTGTATGAAACCTGAGATAATTCGCCCTATATGCTCATTTATTGGACTTACTCTTGCAAATAATAGTAAGTATTCATTATTTTCTAGGTTGTACATTAAGAACTGTATTTCAAAGCATTACAAAAACTATTAATCTCAATTAATGAGTTTGATGCTTCTAGTTGTACCATTTTGGATATATTTAAACTTGTTTTATTTTGTTTGATAAAGGTTCTCACTGTATAGCCCTGGCTAGCCTGGAACTCACTATATAGACTAGGCTGCCTTCAAACAGATACTGACCTTCCTCTGCCTTGAGTTCTTGGCTAGACTTTTGAAGATAAGACAATCTTGGAAGTAGATATTACTAGGAGGACATTGGAAAGATGGTGACAGCAGCATTGTTATTTCTTGGGAGGTGGGGTTTGAGAATGATCTCCTGTAGCCCAGACTGGCTTATAGATCTCTCTTTATAACGAAAGATGACCTTGAGTTCATGATCCTTCTTCCATACCTCCTAAGTTCTGGAAATATACATATGAACCGCTATTCGCATCCTGCAATATAGTTTGTTTTTGTTTGTTTTGTTTTTAACCTTTCTAAATACCCTCATAAAACAGTGCAATGAAATAATGAAACTAAAACCCCACAGGTTGTACAATCTAACCAAAATGGAATTAAATTAGAAATGAAAAAAAAATCATGGGGTCATTGAGATGGCTCAGTCTGTTAAGGCTCTTTAATATGATGCAAGTCTGATGATCCTCAGAACCTACATTAAGGTGCAAGGAGAGAAATGACTCCACAAAATTGTTCTCTGACCGCTATAGTGCATGTGCATGTATGTGTGTGTGTTTATACACACACAACTCCATTATAATAATACAACTTTTTATATTTAATACTTATCCTTTTAAAAAAAATTTTAAATATACCAAAATAAAATATATAAGATAAAAACTATAACATCAGAGTTGGGCAAGACAAAGAAACAGGAGGAAATGAATCCAAGAGAAGACACAAGAATCAGAGACCCACTTGGTTTCTTACTCAGGAATCCCATAAAAATGCAAAGGCCATAGTATATATTCAGAGGACCTGGTTCAGACCTGTGCAGATCCTGTACATGCTGCCTCAGTTTCTGTGAGTACATATGAACTTTGCTCATGTTGATTCAGAGGGCCTTGTTTTCTTGGTGTCCTCATCCTTTGGATCTTATACTTTTTCCACTTCTTCTTCCTAGGGGTATCCTGAGCCCTGAGGGGAGGGATTTGGTAGAGAGATCCTGTTTAGGGCTGAGTATTCCAAAGTCTCTCTCTCTCTCTGCATAATGTCTGGCTATGGGTCTCTGCAGGAGGAAGCTTTTCTACTGATAGCTAAGCAAAGCACTGATCTGCTTCCCTGGTCAGAGCATAAATACAATTTTTAAAAATAAATGAACAAAAGAAAAAAACCTTGAAAAGATGACTGATAGCCAAATATGTGGTTATTAAAGACTTGGATTTCTGGAGGTTGTAGAAAGCTGAGGGATAAGGATGGCTGAAAGTTCATGCTCGTCTGGGTTACATATATAGTGAGTTTCTGGCCAGACTAGGCTACGGTGTGATGCACTATCTTCAACCTCCCCAACCTACCCCCCTACAAAAGATCTAAATTATCAATCTAAATTACCATGAAAAGTGATATCACTATAGATTATGTTTCCTTGTTTTTATTTGATGTGTATGAGTGTTTGTTTGCATGTATGCCTGTGTACTACATGTATGCCTGGTGCCATTGAAGGCCAGCAGAGGGAGTTAGATTCCATGGGATTGGAGATACAGCTCATAACTGAGCTACCTTTTGAGTGCTAGGAATGAAACCTGTGTCTGCTGGAAGGGCAGACAGTTCTCTTAACTGCTGAGCCAGCTCTCCATCCCTCACTCAAGAACTATCAGAGTTTAACAAAATAATAGTAGAAACAGTTTTACACCATGCAATTAGACAATTGTAATGAATTGGGCAAATTCTTTAGAAATACAGAAATTGCTAGAACTTACTCCAAAGAAATAGATAACTTGAATATTCCTCTATTGGTTTTGTTTGTTCTTTTTTTATTTTTTGTTTTTGAAGGTTTTTTTTTGTTGTTGTTGTTAATTTTGATGAGTATGAGTGTTTGCTTGTATGCCCATATGTGCTATGCCTTTGGAGACCAGAAGAGGGTGTAAATGCCCCTGGAATTGGAGTTACAGTTGTGAGCTGCCATGTGGGTGCTGGGAACTGAACTAATGTCCCCTCTCTTCAAGAGGAGAGAGTTCTCGTAACCAATGAGCCATCTCTCCAGCCCCATGTTTATTATTTTTTTTTAAGACAGGGTTTTATGTAGCTCAGGCTAGCTTTGAACTTGCTGTGTAGCTGAGCCTGGCCTTGAACTGGTTCTTCCCTTCCACTTCTTGAGTGCTAAGATTACAGGTGTGTGCTACCACACCTGACTCCATAGTTCTACATCAAAGAGACAGAATTCATAAGTTAAAGTTGTATAAATATAGGAGAATTTCAAAGCCTGGTAATTTTACTGGTAAATTCTACTTTTTGGAAAAAGCTCCCCCAAAAATTCTACATAAATTATTCCTAGAAATAGAAGTGGAAGAAACACTTATAAATACATTCTATAAGGCTAGCATTACACCCAAGCTGAAAGAAGCCATTACAACAAAATTATAGGTCAATATCTATTATGCACATAGAAATAAAAATACTGTTTGTTTATATGAGATAGAGCCTCATATAATCTGCTTGGCTTCAAATTCTCTATGTAGTCAAGGATAACCTTGAACTCCTGAACTTCTGCCTCTACCCCCCCAAATGCTGGAATTACAAATGTGCACCATCATTCTTGGTTTATGTGCTGCTAAGAGTTGAACCCACTGATCTGTGGATGCTTGACAAGCATTCTAACCAATTCTGAGTTACATTCCCAGCCTTAGATATAAAAATATTAATAATATTTAAAAATCAAATCAGGATGATTACCATCAGTTTGAGTCTATCCTGATCTACATGAGTTCCAGGCTAGTATGAGTTCAAAAAGTATTTTCTAAAAATTTAACCATATGGAGAAAAGATAATACATTATGACTAAATGGCCTATCTCAAAGAAGTGCAAGATTGGTTTAACATTATAAAACCATAAATCACAGGTTAGAAAAAGGAACTATATGATAATCTTAATAATTAGAGGAAAAGTATTATGCATAATATATGTCTTCATAATAAGAACTCTTGGTAAACTAGGAATGGAAGGGAACATACTTAATGTGATAAAGGGCATATATAATGCTACATGTAACTGCTATTCTCATTATTTTTATTTAATATTTTATTAGATATTCCTAGCCAGTGAAATAAGACAAGAAAGTGAAATAAAATTCATAGAGATTAAAATGAAGGAATTTTCCCATAAATGATGTGATAGTATCACATCCAGACACACAACTATAGCTAATAGTGATTTTAGGTAGATTGCAGGATGTAAGGACACACAAAATCAATATGTCCCAACAAATTATTGGAACCTCAAACTGTCATTTGTGTCTGTTTGTTGGGGGTGTATGATTGCATTAATATATGGTTGCAGGTACACTTCCTTGTGTATTCCAATATGGAGGTCAAGGAATAACTTTGGGTATCTTCCTCTGTCACTCTCTACCATACTTTTTGAGACAAGGTCTCTCACTGAAATTGGAGCTTTTTGTTTCAGCGAGACTTACTGACCAGCAAGCCTCTGGAACCTGCCTGTCTTTGCCTCCCTAGCACTGGGGCTCTAGGTACACAGTGCCTTGGCCAGCTTTGATGTAGTTATTGGTGATCTGAACTCAGATCCTCATGCTTGCTGGCAAGTGCTTTACCCATTGTGCCATTTCCCCAGCCCCCATCATTTATAATAGTATACTTTAAAAAAAAAAAAAAAAAAAAAGAACTAGCCTGGGACTAAAGAAATGGATCAAAAGTTAAGAGTACTGGCTACTCTTACAGAAGACCCAGATTCAATTTTCAGAACCCACATGGCAGCTCACAACTGTAACTCTAGATCTAGAGGATTCAATGCCCTTTTTTGGCCTCCATGGGCACCAGAAATGCACATGGTACACATACATATAGGCAGGCATACATATACATGAAATAAAAGTAGATAATCTGGGGTTAAAAAACAAGACAGATAATATGACGCTCAGTTGGTAGAGCATGAGACTCTTAATCTCAGGGTCGTGGGTTCGAGCCCCACGTTGGGCGCCATTTGTAGCTAGAGTTTTTCTCTCCGGGTCCCACCAAGCCCCGGCAGTCCTGTAGCCTACTTCTAAAATAAACACACAGACGCTTATATTATTTAAACTGTTTGGCCTAATGGCTCAGGCTTCTAGCTATCTAGTTCTTACATCTTAAATTAACCCATTTCTATAAATTTATACCTTGCTACATGGCTCGTGGCTTACTGGTATCTTACATGTTGGTACTCATGGTGGTGGCTGGCAACGTCTCCTGACTCAGCCTTCCTGTTCCCAGAATTCTCTTCTCTGCTTGTCCCCTATACTTCCTGCCTGGCTACTGGCCAATCAGCATTTTATTTATTTAGAGCGATATCCACAGCACATCCCAGCACTTGAGAGGCTGAGGCAGGAGGATTTTGAGACCATAATGAAAAGTAAATTAGAGACTAGCCTGAGCTACAAATAGATACTGTATCTCAAAAAATGAAAATACTTGACTAAATACTTAGGTGTAAATTTAATGAAATATATGTAATGCCTGTGCTATTATTTTAATAAGTGTCTCCCAAAGACCCATGTATTGAAGGATTTGTCCTCAGTTTATAGTGCTATTTGGAACTCATGAGAAATTCATGGAATCTTTAGGATGTAGGTCCTAATGGAAATAAGTCATTGAGATGCACCATTGAAGAGAATGTAAGAACCCTTGCTCCTCTCTGTTTCTGCCTCCCTGGCTCCAACAGGTGATCAGTTTCCTTTATAACCTATTTATGTCTTACTATGATGTGTACTGCCTTGCCATAGGCTCCAGAGCCACAAATCATAGACTGTAATCTCTAAAATGATGGCCCAAAGTAAAATGTTTTCCTTATAAGTTAATTTAAGTATGTTGTCACTGCAATAAACTTGACTAACATAGCAAAATATTGCAGAAATATCTAAATTGTAAGGAGATTTATAATGTTCATGTGTAGGGTGCTTGCTTGTCTATATGCACTATGTCCATGCAGGCACCCACAGAGTCCAGAATGTGTTAGGCTATATGAGACCTCATCTCAAAAAAGAAAAATAAAAACTAGACTTTGAAAACCACAAACAAGAAAAAACCCTCACTTTTTGAAAAAAATTAAAATACTGTGTAGTGAAGAAGCTGTCTTGTAGTCATTATAATATTGAAAACATGTGCTTGTCCTTAAAACCACAATAGCAAGCCAGGTGGTGGTGGTGCATGCCTTTAATCCTAGTACTCGAGAGGCAGAGGTAGGTGGATGTCTGTGAGATCCTGTTCTATAGGGTGAGTTCCAGGACAGCCAGGGCTACACAGAGAAGCCTTGTCTCAAAAAACCATGCCACCAGCACCACCCCCACAACTCGAAAGAAAAAACCAAGATGACAAGATGGTTCACTGGGTAAAGACTCTTACCATTCGTTAAGTCTGACTATCTGAGTTTGATCCCCAGGATTCATATCATGTAAGTTGAAAACCATGTTCAGAAAGTTGTCATCTGACCTCCACGTGTATGTTGTGGTACATGTGTACATATGCACATGAATAAATAAATGTAAAAATAACATAAAAAATTTTAAGTGAAGGTTTTTTTGGTTTGTTTTAAGGCCAATGAAATTAGTGGCGAAAGGTGCTTGCTGCCGAACCTGACACTGAGTTCATTCCCAAGGTCCCACATGGTAGAAAGTGAGAACCAACTTCATAAGTTGTTCTCTGACTTCCTTGTGCATTCCATGACATATGCAGTTTCCACACTTCCCATATAAATAAATTTAAATAAAAATATATTCCATATAAATAAAAACCAGAATTGTTTTTTTTAATTGTAAAATGTTTCAGTTTCTTTCTAAGCAGCATAAACCTTGTAATCCCAGCAGTGGTGGAAGCAGGGGAATCAGGGATTAAAGGTCAGTCTTGGCAACATTAGTTCAGTGCCACCCTGGACTACTTGAGAAACTACTACTACTATATCCAAAAACAAAGTTAATTAGTCAAATAAACACAAAATATGTTTTTGGAAAGGGGTGATAGGAGATGTAGCTTAGTGGTAGAGTGCTTATGTTCTGTGTAGATGTTTCTGATTTCAGTCACTAGTACCAAATAAGTAAATAGTGTTAAATTCTGGATGTGATATTATTTTATGTTAATATCCCTTTTATTTACAATACAAAAGTCAATTTTTGTTTTTAATCATCTTAGCTTTTAAATCATCATCCTTGGAACTAGGCTAAACTAGGAAAAAATTGTGGCAGGATTTTAACTACTAGCCTCATCACCATTGGTCATAAGCCTGTTTCTAGGATAGGAGCTGTAGAGATACTGACTTTAGAGCCGCAGGGCATACTTTCTCATCAACATTACTTAAAAATGAGGGTGTGGTGGCACAGGACTATAATATCACTTGGGAAGAAGCAACAAGAGAATCTTAAGAGTGAAGCCAGCCTGGGGTAAGTAGTGAGATCTAGTCTCAAATATATATATGTATAAACACACATTTTGTGTATATATGTATGTATCTATCTGTCACTGAATCTTTGCTCAATGATATATTAGAATTTTGTGCTCCAAGAAGAAAAATGAATTAGGTGTAAATAAAAGGTGTATGTGGCCAGGTGTGGTGGTATGCACCTTTAATTCTAGCACTTCGGAGGCAGAGGTAGAAGTAGAGACAGGAGTGTGTTTGTGAGTTCAAGGTCAGCCCAGTCTACATAGTTCCAGGACAGTTCAGACTATATAGGGAAACTCTGTTTCTCAAAAAAAATTTCATATGTGTTTTTGAAACAATGGAACACATTGTCATTTCTAGAGTAAAGTGATCTGAGATATCAGTTACATTGGAATTTAGAAAGTAATTGCTGGTTATAATACCAAGATAAACCAATGAATCTGTTCTTTCATGTTATCATGTTGTTAGGGTCCTGCTGTAAGCCCAGGCTACAACTCATTACCTTTTGCCTCTGCTTTCATAGTGCTAAGATGATAGGCCTAGACCACTTTTCCATTCCTTGCCCTTACTGAATCTATTCTATATAGTGCTATTGAAATACTTGTTTAATAATTATGAAGGATAGTTTAATAATATCACAGAAACACCAGTTCTCAGAAATGAAATAAAAGATCTCCTACACAAAATGAAGCACTATCCTACTATACATCTAATTGTACTGTGTCAAGGGGAAGTGTTACTAAGTTTATATGTATGAATGTGTGTGTGTGTGTGTATGCACATAAATAGATGAAAGTTGAACTTTTAATTCTGTAATTTTTGGGAATTACAGTATTTGAAAAACCAAATTAAAAGTATTTAATATAAAATAATTGAATGAACTCATATACCTGCCTTTTTTGAGATATTAATAGTTTTGCTACTTTATTCCTTAAGCACATGTTCAGAACTGCTTTGTATCTTCGGGTGGACTGGATGTTTTGTCGCAAGTTCTTGTGCAACTGGAGTCTGATTCACACAATACTTTTTCCAGTGCTAAGCTTGCAGTGGTAGTGACAAAGACCGTGGATGCATGTATTACTAATAATTGTGAGTAAAAATGCTTAATCAATTTTCTATAATTGAACTTTGCTGAACAACTACATTAATACATTTATAAATACATTAAATACTATTGTATTTAATATGGCAAAATTGTATTAAAATGGCAAAATTTCCACCTTCTTACAAATGGAAAGGAATCTTAGAAATTAACTATTCTAGTTCCTTATTTTCCCATCAGAAGTTACAACTTCCCTAGGGATGTACATCTAAGTCTTTTGACTTTAGGTCTAATAAGAGAATCAAAGTAAGATCTGGTAATTCTTTAAGTCATTATTTCACTTAAAAAGCTGTTTTAGCTAGATGTGGTGGTGCTTTTGGGAGGCAGAGGTGGAGGCAGGTAGATCTCTTGAATTCCAGGCCAGCCATGGTAACACAGTGAGACCTTGTCTAAAAAGAAAAACAACTTTAATTAAAAAAATTTAAATGACAAATCAAAAGACATTGAGATATTGAAAAACCCAATGTATAAAATTTTAGGAATTATGTAAATAATTAAACTTGGGCTGGAGAGGTGGTTCAGCAGTTAAGAGCTCTTGCTGCTTTTCCAGAGGACCTGAATTTGGTTCCCAGCACCCAAGTTGGGCAGCTCACAACTACTTGTAACGAGAGCTCCAGGGGATCCAACACCTTCTGGCCTCTGCAGGCACCTGCACACATGTGGCATATGCTTATATAGAGACAAATACATATACATAAAAATTAAAACATGCCTTTGTGATGAGGGTAATGTCTGACATACCTAATGCATGAGTGAGCAGCAGAGCCAGAACTAAGGACATACGTTTCTCATTGTACAAACACTTAGAATGGTAGTGTGTAAATCCTTGTAGTGAGGACCCCTTTACATTCACAAACGACCCAAAAAGTAGATGGCTGAGTTTTTAAAGATTTATTTTATGTGTATGAGTGTTTTGCCTTAATGTTTGTATGTATACCATGTGTGTTCCTAGTGCTCATAGAGACCAGAAGAGGACATTGGATCCCCATTGTGAGCCACCATGTCAGTGCTAGGAACCAAATCTGAATCTTCTTCTGTAAGACCACCAAGTTCTCTTAACTACTGAGCCCTTAGATGGCTATTTAATAAGCAGTTAATGAATACCTGCTGTGTGCTAAGTCCCAAAGACATAAAAGTAATTGAGATATAGTTCCTTGAACCATGAGATGTATCAGCAGGTAGAGAGGTTCCTGCTGCCAAGCCTGATAACCCGTGTTCAATCCTGGGACCCACATGGTGGAAGGAGAAAATTGACTCCTGAATAAAGTTGTCATTTGACCTCTGTGTGTGCACCATGGCATATGTGCTATGCACACATAAACACAATAAGTAAATGTAAAAAAAAATTAAATGATACAGTTCCTTGAGGAATTCACAACTTTATTGTTCATACCAGTATTATTAGACTCTGATGAACTCTGTTAAAAACCCTATGGAGGCCATGCAGGGTAGTGCATACCTATAATCCCAGCATTTAGGAAATAGAGGATCAGTTCAGGGTTAGCCTCTGGTTAATAATAAGTTTAAAGTCATCCTGGGCTGTGTAAGACCCTGTCTCAAACAATAAAAAATAACATAAATACCTCATAAGGAGAATTATAGCTTAATAGTAGACTTCTTCAATCTCATCACACTTCATCATAGATTTATATAACCTTCATTGCATCATTAACATTAATAGTGTCATAGAGTCATATTTCAATGTCAAGCAGGATTTATCTAGTAGTGTCCTTACTGTCTAGTATAGCTATAAGGAGATATGTAAGATAAGAGTAGGTATATTCAGCTTTTAGGAATATATTATTAGTTCATATTTACAACATCATGCACAGCAACTAAGAAGAAACCATTAAAGAAGAAGAACATAAGCCGGGCACTGATGGTACACACCTTTAATCCCGCACTCAGGAGGCAGAGACAGGCGCATCTCTGTGAATTTGAGGCCAATTTGGTCTACAGAACTAGTTCCAGGACAGCCAGGGCTACAAAGAAAATCCCTAAAAAAAAAAAAAAAAAAAGAAACCAAAACCAAAACCCAAAAACAAACAAAAACCATAAAAGACTAGTCATGATGATGCACACCTTTAATCTAGGGAGACAGGCAGGTGGATTCATGTGAGTTTGAGGCCAGACTGGTTTACGTAGAGAGTTCCAGGTCAGTCAGGAATACATAGAGAAATGCTGTCTCAAACAAACAAAAAAAAAAAGTAAATAATGAGGACGATAAACCATTTTCTTACTATAATGTATTTGTTTAAATTGACATGTATATACATATATTGGATGCTATATGACATGTATATATTAGGTAGTACATAGGCATATGATATTCTCCCTGAATAAGCTCTAAAACAAATGGTACTTGTATACTTAGAAATCTTAAATTTGTACCTTTTTTTTCTCCCTGTATTAAACTAGTAGCTACCTTTTCAGTGGTGTTATCCAAATACCACATTGTTTCAAAACTTCTGGCATTACTGCTTCATGAAAGTCTTGATTCAGGAGAAAAATTTAGCATCATACTTGCCATTGGTCACTGCACAGAGGATTGTGGTGAGTATTCAGTTAATTCAGTGTGTGTACTGAAACAGTGGGGTGGAAACATGCTTTTGCTTCTTTCTCCTCTTATTGTATGAAAGACTTAAAATCCAGCTTTTGTCCCAGTCATTTAAGCTCCTTATTTTCTTTTTCATACTATGTTCAATTAATCATGGAGGCCTCTGGTTGTACTTCTTTCTCATTCCATATTTCTTCCCATTGCCCCCAGTCCATTATCGCCTTTCACCAGTACGACTGTAACAGCTACCTCATCTGCTCCTCCTTGTCTCTCTCGATTTTCAGTCTTCTTGCTGAGTCAGTATACAAATCTGATCCTGTTCTCCCTCACTGAAAACCTTGAAAGGCCAGTTCTTCTAACCTTCAGTGAAAACTCTCAAAGGTTTTGTTTCCTCTATTTCTATCCCAGTCTTGCTCTAATCCATCTTTCCAACAATCTTCACTTTCCTCTCTTCTAACCATCTCCCTCCTTCCTCACACTTTCCCACTTTTTTCTCATCTCTTTTCTCTCTCTCGTGTCATCTACTCTTTTCTTAGTTTTTGTTTGTTTCCTTTATCAATTTCTTTATTCTTTCTCTTGACCTTTTAAGAATGTTTTTATTTATGCATATGTATATGTGTGTCTCTGGGTACCCACAGAGGCCAGGGGAGGGGTAGAGTTACAGGTGGTTATGAACCACTTGATGTGAGGTTTGGAAACCAAATTCGGGTCCTCTGCAAGAGCAGCAAGTGCTCTTAACCACTGAGTCATCTTTCAGTCCCTACACTTCATTTTTTTTTTTTAAACCAAATGAGAGCTATGTGTTATCTCTTATGAGGTGTGGTACATTGTGGCAACATTTTAGAAATCATCATTTATGAGAATTAGGTACCTTTTGTAAACAGATTAATAAATTGAAAATACCTTTGAAATTATATTCTTTATTTTAAAGTTTGAATTATGTTCATAATTATCACAGTGATAAATCATGACCTCATACAAAGCTTTATAAACTTTATGAAAAATAATCATCATTTTAATTTTTGATATTTTTACAGAGGAAAATCAATATGAACTTTTAAAAAACAATGGGTTGCCACTAATGATACAAGCCTTAACTGAATTTAATAATGAAGAACTAAACAAAGCTGCCACTTATGTGCTTCAGAACTGCAAAACAATTAGTAAGTTTACTGTTACTTTAGGAAAATATCAACCTTCTGGGCATGGTAGTGCACACTTTTATCCTAGCTCTGGGAAGCAGAGACAGGCAGATTCCTTAGGAATCAAGGCCAGTATCTATACTGGATGTTCCAGGCCAGCCAAGGCTACATACATAGCAAGACCCTTATCTCAAACAAACAAAAATCGAAATATCAACTGCCAGGTATAGTGACACACAACTTTTAATTTCAGGACCAGAGGCAGACAGGTTTTTTTGTGTTCAAATCCAACCTGAGTTACATAGTAAGACTCTGTTCCAAAGGAAAAGAAAGGAAGGAAAGAAAGTTGCTGAAGAGAAATTTGTATGTACTCTAATGATTTAGATTCCATATTATTTTTTTGGGCTTGAAAGGAGCATATGTAATTTGGAAATGACAATTAGAGCATTTTCAACGTACTCAAGCCTATGTAAAAGAGAACATCCAGATAGCTGAAGCTGAGAAAATTCACTTATTTTATGCCTTGTGTTTTGTTTCTAAATCATAATATAAAGTACATTTGTTCATTAGTTTAAATATTAGAATTTCTGTTATATGCTAAGTACCATGAAAGGCATTGATATTGAGGGTAGAGTTATAAGCAAACTGTGGGCCTGTAAGTTTAGTCTGAGTAAAGAAATAATTCTAAAAACTAAAATTAGATATTATTATAAATTGATATAAAGATTGTGAGGGAGTGTATTCTGAATACTTAGCAATACACTATAGCAAAGTGATCTGTTGCTATGATTGATTGATAAATAAAACGCTGATTTGCCAGTAGCCAGGCAGGAAGGATAGTGTAGGCGGGACAAGGAGTGAGGAGAATTCTGGGAGGTGGAAGGCTGAGGCAGAGAGATGCTGCCAGCCATCACAAGGAGAAGCATGATGTAAGATACCAGTAAGCCACAAGCCATGTGGCAAGGTATAGATTTATAGAAATGGGTTAATTTAAGATATAAGAACAGATAGCAAGCAGCCTGCCATGGCCATACAGTTTATAAGTAATATGAGTCTCTGTATGTTTACTTGGGGGATGCGAGTGGGAGAGATTTGTCCTGACTGCCGGCAGGCCAGGACACAGGAAAACTTCAGCTACAGTGATCTGATCCAGATTTAAAGCAGTACAGGTTTTGGGAGAAAGGGCCCAAAATTATAGGAAGAAAGTAACTCATGAACAGAAATCTAAACGTCTAGAGTTAATTGTGTGAAAAGAGGAAATGGGCTATAAATGGCTCAGGCCTAAGCAACAGATCCTAGCTTAGGAAGGGGACTGGTGTATTCAAAGAATTGATGGGCAGTCTAGCTGGAGCCCAGAGAGCTGGTGGCAGCTATAAGATTTCTTTGTGAATGAAAAACGATAGACATAATAAATTTTTTAAAAGACTGTGTTTTAAGCATATCTATGTCCCCTAGTTTGCTTTCTACTGTTGTAATAAGCATTATGACCAAAAGCAACTTGAGGAAGAAAGGATTTATTTCAGCTTCCACCTTACAGTACATTGTTATGGGAAGTAAGGACAGGAACTCAAGTCAGGAACCCTGGAGACAGGAACTGAATCAGAGATCATGGAGGAATATTGCTTACATAGCTTGGTCCGCTTGCTTTTGTATAACCCACGACCACCTGCCCAGGGACGGAACCTCCTCCAGTGATCTAGGCCTTCCTACATCAATCATTAATCAAGAAAATGCCTCCATAGACTTGTCTACAGGCAATCTGATAGAGGCATTTTCTCAGTTGAGGTTCCCTCTTCCCAGATGACTCTAACTTATGTCAAGTAAATGAAACTTGACCAAACCAAAACAATCTACTTTTGGACTAGAGAGGTAGCTCAGTGATAGAGTATATACTTAGCATATGACTGACCCTGTCTTTAATTTTTGCATTCCAAACAAACTACTTTAAAGCCAGTAACCTTGTATCTGGAATAACATTTTCATGTGTTATTTTCCAAAACTATGAAAAGTAGAATCTACTATTTGACTAAGTCCCAGGCCTCTGCTATGCCTTCTTTCCACTTATTTTCAGTACCAGTTATTGTATATGGATATACAGTTTAAAGATGGGATGGGGTGGAATATGTAGTTGTCCTTAAAGTGTAATAATAACATTTCTAGTAATGATAAACTTACTATCCCCTTCCTTTGTCTCTCCTCCCGCTGCCCCCACGCATCCCATATTACAAAGCTGAGAAATTATCTCTAAGTCTAGGAGAGAATTCTTTTGATGAAAATGAAGCTGACCAACTAAAGGACATAAATGAAAAAGAGAATCTTGAAGAGCACTGGAAGGCAGCAAAAGAAATTATATGCAGAATAAAACAATTTGAAAGAGAAGGAAAAGAGGTTGGTTTTTTTTTTTCCATTTCACAGAATATAGAACTCCATGCAAATACTAGAATACGTGCAAATTTAAAGCAATAGAGGTTGGCAGTAAAAATGTTTTTCTCCAGTTATTTTTTAAAATGTTTAATGTAAATTTTAATAGTAATATTTAAAGGACATAGGTATAGAACAAATTTTTTACATTTATTTTTTCTTTATCATTAAAAAAAGATTCTCTGTGTGTGTGTGTGTGTGTCTGTCTGTCTGTCTCCAAATGCCTGAAGGGAAGGGGCCAGAAGAGGACACTGGATCCCCTGGAGCTGGAGTTATAGGTGGTTGTGAGCTGCCTGACATGGCTGCTGGTATTTTTAACTCATAGCCTCTGGAAGAGCATCAAAAATTCCTAACTACTGAGTCATCTCTTTATGTCCTATTTATTTATTTTTACTTTTATTTATGTGTATATGCACACCATGTATTTAAGGGAGCCCTAAGAAAACAGAAGAGGGCGTCAGATCCCCTTGAGTTAGGCTTACATGTCTTTATGAGTCGCTTGATGTGGGTGATAGGAACTGAACCCAGGTCCTCTGCAAGAGTAGTATGTTCTCTTAACCCCTGAGCCATCTCTTCAGCTCCTAAATAATTTTTTTTAGTTTTAATTTAATGTGCATGGGTGTTTTACCTGCATTTATGTCTGTGCACCATATGCATACCTGGTGCCCAGAAGGCTAGAAGAGGGCATCAGATCTAGAACTGGAGTTACAGTTGTGAGCCATCTGGGAATCAAACCTGGGTCATCTGATAGAGTAGTTACTGCTCTTAACTCTTGAACCATTTCTCCAGCTCTCCCAAATGATTTTTAAAGGGGTGTGTGTGTATGTGTGTGTGAGTGTCTGCACCCATGGATGCCTGTAGAGGCCAGAATTGGGTGTCAGATCCCCTGGAACTGGAACTACAGATGATTGTGAACTGCCCAATGTGGGTGCTGAGTTCCAGAGAACTCAGGTTCTCTGGAAGAGCAACAAGCTTTCTTAAGCACCGAGTCATCTTTCTAGCCCCTAAATAATTTTTTAGAAAGTAGAAATGGTAACAAGAAAGAGTAGTTACATAAAAGATAAAACTAAGAAGTCTAACATCTGAATATTAGTTCAACAAATTTGCAGAAGAAACAATCTAATTTTAATCCCTCTTCCCCAATCCCAGACATATACATGGTCTTGTGTCTAAACTGCAGGAGTATGGTCTGACAAATGCATCAGTAGATAATTCCATCATTGTACAAGCATCACAGAGTAATTACACAAACTAAGATGGTAAACGTCAAGCGATGCAATAAATTTAAGAAGTATGAGGACCTGGACAATGGCTTAGTGGTTAAGAGCATTATTTGCTGCTCATGGAGAAGACCTGGGTTCAGTTCTTAGCACACATGCAGTGGTTCACAACCATCTGTAACCCCAGTTCCAGGGAATCCTACACTCTCTTCTGGCCTACATGGGTGCCAGATATGCACATAGTGAACATACACACATGCAGGCAAAACACTCATACACCTAAATTCAAAATAAATCAATCTTTATGAAATGGGGGGTGCATATGAGACTGCTGTTGCTTAAACAGTATACTGTTTTATAGTAAACGGAATGCACTAAAATAATGATAAAAATATAACATAGTAAATTGTTGGGATATTTGTACACTGTGTGAAGATATATTGTGATTGGTATAATAAAAGCTGAATGACCAATAGCGATGTAGGAGGTATAATGGGATTTGTAGGGAAAGAAAGGAAGAGGAAGAGGAATCTAGGCATGCAGGAGAAGCCAGGAGACATGGACAGGAAACAGGAGGTTCAAGATAGAAGAGAAGTCACACCATGTGATAGAATGTAGACTAATATAAATGGGTTAATTTAAGTTGTAAGAGCTAGTTGAGACAAGCCTAAGCTAAAGGCTGAGCTTTCATAATTAATATAAGTCTCTGTGTTATTATTTGGGTTTTGCCAATTCCCCTGAGCCTCAACCAGGGAAGGCTTTGCCACTCTCATAAGTCTAAGGCATTGGGATCCTTGACAGCTGTGTCCATGTCAACAATACACATTCACTCTGGACTTCCTGACCTCTCTTCACACACATTGTTGGGGGAGGGTGCACATGTATATATGGTAAGCCTCTGGATGTCAGAGGACACCCTTGGGTGTTAGTCCTTAGGTGCTTTTCACATTTTGCTGAAACTTTCTGTTTCTACAGTGATTTCATGTATATAATATATATGTGTATATTACATATTTTTCTTTTTGAAATTTTGATCATCAAACCCAGGGCTTTGCATGCCAGTGCTGTTCTACAGCTGAGCTACATTCCCAGAGTTCAAAACACATACACACACACACACACACACACACACACACACACACACACACACGCACGCACGCACGCACGCACACGCACGCACACACACACACACATGCACACACATACCTCATATACTTGTTTGAGCCTTGCTTGCACTTCTTATGAAGTAGAATTGCTGAGTCATAGTCTAGTGTAATTCTATGTTCAGTTTTTTGAGGAACTGCCACTCAAGTTCTAGGCCAGCAAGGGCTACAAAATAAGACCTAGTCTCAAAAAAAGTAAGGAAGGTTTTAAATGAAATATTGTTATATATTTTATCACAATTTAAAAGAACAAATAGTGTGGTTAACTAAAAACCACTGAATTAGGCAATAAGTGAATAGAATGAAAATTGCATCTCAAGCTGTCAATGGCTCAGTAAAGTACTTGCCATTGAAAGCATGAAGATTGGAATTCAGATCCCCAGAAACCACATAAAAATCTAGGGATTAGTGGTGCACACCTGTAATCCAGGTGGGAAACAAACAGATCCCTGGAAGCTTTCAAGCCAGCTATCCTGGTGTATGTGGTAAAGTCCAAGCCAATGTGAAACTGCTACTTCGTTTGGCTCTCTGGAGACTACCACCCAACTCCCAAATAAATCACACAGAGTCTTACTCTTTTTTTATGAATGCCTGACCTTAGCTTGACTTGTTTCTAGCCAGCTTTTCAGAACTTAAATTATCCTGGCTACCTTTTGCCTCTGAGCTTTTATCTTTATTCTATATACCTTTCTTTACTTCTTACTCCATGGCTTGTTGTGTAGCTGGGTGGCTGGCACCTAGTGTCTTCTCTCCTTTTTGTCTCATTCTTAGATCTTCTCTTCCCAGATTTCTTCACCGATTAATTCTCTCTGTCTGCCAGACCTGCCCATCCTTTCTCCTGCTAGCTATTGGCCATTCAGCTCTTTATTAGACCAATCAGGTGTTTTAGACAAGCAAAGTAACACAGCTTCACAGAGTTAAACAAACACAATATTAAAAAATACAACACATCTTCACATCGTTAAACAAATGTTCCACAGCATAAACAAATGTAACACATCTTCAACTAATATTGCACAACATAAAAGTTATCCATAGAGTTTTTCTTATACATACTGGTTTTATTATAAAAGTTGTCAAAACAGAAATAAAATAGAAATTTAAAGACTGGGCATAGAGTTTTTGCCTTTAGTCCCTCTCTGGAGGCAGAGTTTGAGGCCAACTTGGTCGATATAGCAAGTTCTAGACCAGCCAAGGCTACATAATGACATCCTGTCTCAAAGAAAAACACAAGTTATTTAGTCATGGATACATGTATACATTCTAGCTAGCAATGTTCATGCTGTCTGTTTCTCCACATGCTTTGAATCTGTCTTGGTAGAGAAGGAAGCAGTTGCAGTGTAGTTTTAGTAGTTATTTCTTTTATTACAGTGAGATGGAGGGATTTTTCATATGTTTAAGAACTACTTAGGTTTCCTGTCCAGTGAACTGTTTATCTCCTTTGCTTACCCTATCATATGGTTGTTGATCTTTTTATTAGTGTTATTTAAGAGTTAGCCAGATGTGGTGGCACACACCTTTGATCCCAGAGATCACAGGCAGATCTCTGTGAGTTCGAGGCTAGACTAGTCTACAGAGCATGTTCCAGGACAGCCAAGGCTACCCAAAGAAACCCTATCTTGGGGGAAAAAAAATTATCCTGTGGTCTAGTACATGCTTTATGTATGATTTTTCTATGTCTTGGTTCCCATTGGTTTTGCTTCTTGCCCTTTTCCTCCTCTAAGTACATTCTCCTTCATTGTCCTTAGTCTTTAGGAGAGCTTTCAAAGATATTTTATATGATCAAGCATATTGGTTTTTTTATGATGTAGCTATTGCATACTATTTAGAAAGGACTTCTATCCCTTGAGAACAGTTTCTATTACAATGGATGTACTTTTTTTTTAATTCATTGATTTATTTTACATCACAGCCGCAGCCTCCGCTCACATCCTCCCCTCTCAGTCCTTCTCCCCCATTCTTCCCTCCCACCCTGTACTTTCTTTTTTTAAATGTTTGTTTATTTATTTGTGTGTGTGTGTGTGTGTGTGTGTGTGTGTGTGTGTGTGTGTGTGTGTGTGTGTGTGTGTACATGCTCAAACCTGAAGACAACTTGTAGAAGCTAGTCTTCTCCTTCTACCATGTGGGTCCTGGGGATCACACTTAGGTAGTCAAACTTGGTAGCAAGCACCTTTACCCACCTAGCCGTCTCCCTGGGCCTATGTAATTTCATTTAACATTTTAAAAATATTTGGTTCACTTTTACCTTATTGTTGTGAAATAGCTACATTTATATTCATATAGCTACATTTTCCCCCCAGGTAGCTTCTCAAGTAATCCAATATCATTTATTAAATAAATTCTCTTTCTCTTCCTAATGTAAATTATTCCTTTTATTATTGGGGGATTTATTAAGGCAACTCCACATAGTTAAAAGGGAGGTTTGCCGGGCGGTGGTGGCGCACGCCTTTAATCCCAGCACTTGGGAGGCAGAGCCAGACGGATCTCTGTGAGTTCGAGGCCAGCCTGGACTACCAAGTGAGTTCCAGGAAAGGCGCAAAGCTACACAGAGAAACCCTGTCTCAAAAAACCGAAAAAAAAAAAAAAAAAAAGAAAAGAAAAGGGAGGTTTATTAGGGGGTTTTACTTACAACAAGTAAAGGAATAGGTTACAGGGTCTGGGAGAGGTGAAGTGCAGTCCAGTGGTGTTCTCTGGAGAACTCTGCTTGGTCTACCATCCAGCATCCAGGATCACCAGGAAGCAAGAGAGCTGGCACATCCAGATCTTGGGTCTTAAGGGCTCCTGTTTTGACCCCACCTCAGGGGCAGGCCATAGCTAGGCCTGACAGTTACTAGAAGCCTCAGTGGGGGTAGTGTTTCCAGGTCAAAGCTGGAACAGCTACCCATTACATTTTATTGTAAGTGTTAAGTTAAAACATATACAGTTTTTGCCGGGCGGTGGTGGCGCACGCCTTTAATCCCAGCACTCGGGAGGCAGAGCCAGGCAGATCTCTGTGAGTTCGAGGCCAGCCTGGGCTACCAAGTGAGTTCCAGGAGAGGCGCAAAGCTACACAGAGAAACCCTGTCTCGAAAAACCAAAAAAAAACCAAAAAAAAAACAAAAAAAAACATATACAGTTTTTATATAATAAAGGAAATTTGAGGCATATTATAAAGAAATGATTGTATTAAAATTATTTACTTGCTATTTTTTATATTGTAGGAAAAATTACAAAGTGGACAATATAAGGATAATACCTCATCTATGAAAATAAAAATACAGAACACTTTGAAACATCTCTGTGCAGATAGTATTGGAGGTACCAAAGCAGAAAATAAGGATACAAACCAGTCTAAACAGCGTCCTAGTTATAAGTCCAGTGGAATCATATCTAAAGCTTGTGCAAATGAAAACCAAATGAAGACTCTGAAAAAGAACACAAATCCCCTTAATCCTTGCTATAGGGAGAGAGGGCAGAGTAAGAGTTTACATAAAGCCACTTCAAGCTGCACTCAAATCTTAAATGAAAAAATGACCTTTAACCAAAAGGATTCTGTTTCTCAATCAAGGTATTGTTTAATGACTATAGCGCTTGCTTACTCAATAAGTACTTATTCTGTGCCATGTTGTTAAGCACTGTGGATATAGGAATGATTAAACCTGGTCTTGGGAGGAGCCTAAAGTAGGAATTCTTTTTGTTTTCTTTTTTTTTTTCAAGTGTATTTATCCTTTTACAATTCCATACATATAAAACGTACTTTATCTTATTTCCCTTTCAGAATATTCTTATCCCCTCCTCCTCCTGCTAATCCCTTTTTTCTTCCTAGTACGTGTCCTTCCTATTCCCATGCCTTTTAGTGTATGTGCTTGTGTGCCTCACTGCCCTTCATTAAGGTTGCTTGCCGTGAGCATGAATGGGAGAGGGAAAAAAAACTGAGACAGGATCTCTTATATCCCAAGGTTGTATATAGCTGAAGATGACCTTGAAATCCTGATCTTCCTACCTCTACCTCCCAAGAGCTGATATTACAGGCAAGTATAACCACACCCAGGTTTTACAGTACTGGGGATTGAACCTATGGCCTGCTGATGCTAAATAAGTACTCTACCAACTGAGCTACATCCCTAGCTCTAAGGGTTTTTTTTTTTTTTTTTTTTTTTTTAAATTGACCAATGAATTTAGATGAGGAGGTATGGATGGTAGTTTATCAAAGACTTTGCATGTTGTTCTCAGGATTTGGGAGTTTAATCCACAGGATGTGGGGAGCCACTGAAGACCTTTTTGCTTTATTTTCTGTTTTGAAACAGGGTCTCACAAATAACAAGAAAGCCTTCAACTACCTCTGTAGCCGATGATGACCTTGAAGTTACCCTTATGTGTACTACTACCCCTAGTTTATTTGATGCTAGTGATCAAAGCCAGGGCTTCATGCGTGTTAGGCAAGCATTCTACCAACTGAATTATGTCCTAAGCTCCTGAAGACTTTAAATTGAGTGAAATACTTGTGTTGGATAGTTTTATGTCAACTTGATACAAGCTAAAGTCATCTGAGAGGAGGGAACATCGATTCAGGAAATATCTCCATAAGATTGGGGCTGTAGGGAAGCCTGTAGGGCATTTTTTTTTAATTAGTGGTTTATGGGATGGAGCCCAACCCATTGTGAGTGTTGCTATTCCTGGGCTGGTGGTCCGGGGATCTATAAGACTGTGCAAGCCATGTAGAGAGTAGGCTAGTAAGCAGCACTCTTTCATGGCCTCTGCCTCAGCTCCTGTCTCCAGGTACCTGCCCTGTTTGAATTCCTGTTCAGACTTCCTTCAGTGATGGGCTATGACATGGAAGTGTAAGCCAAACAAACTCTTTTCTCCTCAACTTGCTTTTTGATTATGGTGTTTCATCACATCAATAGAAACCCTAAGACAATCAAATTTTAATTTTAGAAACTATGCTCACAAAAGAAAAACTTAAACTAAGTCCCTATATTTGAAGCAATAATGAAAGCATTGAACCTGTCAGCAACATGACAAAAACCAGTTTGCAAGTTAACTGTGGTAAAGAGAGTTGAGTTTGATGAAAATCCAATTTTTTTTTAAAGATTTATTTATTTATTATGCATACAGTGTTCTGCTTGTGTGTACACCTGCATGGCAGAAGAGGGGACCAGATCTCATTATTGATGGTTATGAGCCACCATGTGGTTGCTGGGGATTGAACTCAGGACCTCTGGAATAGCAGCCAGTGCTCTTAACCACTGAGCCATCTCTCCAGTCCCAAAATCCAAATTTTTTTTCCGTACTGCCCTTTTCCCCTCACAGGTAGCATGTAAGATTGGACGTAGGCATGTAGCTTTTCTTAAACCCTTTCTTGTGTTCGTCTGATGTCTGTTGTACTTAAGGAAAATGAAGAGGAGACTGTGCTCTGGTCAGGGTGCAGGGCAAACTAAGTATCAGGAAGGTGGATTATATTATCACTCCTTCCTCTGCAAGGCCTTTTTTTAAAAAAAAATTTTTTTTAGCTCAAGGACAATTTTATTAGAGTTTGAAAGAAAAACAAGGCAAACAAGCTGTTAATCTCAACATTTGCTAGCATGAAAGAAATAGAGAAGAGGAAGAGAGAAAGCTGTGAGATTTTAAGTTAGGTGCAAAAACTGGCATGCTGAGCAATGTGGGTCAATTAGGAGCTTTTTGGTGGAAGAGGGAGAGGGTCTCAAAGAAAGAGAAATAGTCCAGAGTGTCAAGAAAAACATGCTTAGGCTTTTGACCAGTGTCCAAAAGAAAAATAGAAACAGGCCAAAGGAAAATTTACACTTTTGTCAGAACTGAGAGAATTGAGCAGTTTAGCAGTGCTGCATGGAAGTTCTGTCAAGTCCATTCTCAGTGGTAATTTTAACCTCACTTCTCAGGGATAGGAAATTGCAGAATGCTAAGATATGTTTTTGGGCCAGCCTTCTTGCCTTCTATTCCAAGGCTTTCACCCATACTCTTTTTTCTCTTTTCCAATTGGTCCTGTTTTTATTTTTTATGTTAGGAATGGTTTTCACATGTGTGTCTATGCACTGTGTATGCCTGTTGTCTACACAGGCCAGAAGAGAGGGCATTGGATCCCTGGGGACTGGTTATAGACAGTTGTGAGCCTACATGTGGGTGCTGGGAATCAAATCTGTGTCCTCCAGAAGAGCTCTTAACTAGCCACTGCTCTTAACTGCAGAGCCAGCTCTCTGACTCTAAGATTGGCCATGTTTCTATCTTAGCTGTTATTAATGTTATTTTCGTGTCAGTTTGAGTTACTCATACTTGCATTTTAAATGTTTTTTTCTTCTATCTTGTACCTTCTACAAATAGATTTACACAGGGCTAGAAATGAACAATAATCACTGTTAGTATCTGTGGTAGTTTGAAATTGGCCCCCATAAAAGGATTAGTTATGATGAAAGAATTAGTTTAGTTAGTAGGGTGCATGCCTAGTATGCACAAGGCCCTGGGTTTGATTCCCAGTACTGCATCAAGTGGGCATAATGGCACATGCCCATAATACCAGCACTCAGAAATTGAAGGCAGGATGATCAGGAGCTCAGAGTTACCTTCAACTACAAAGCACGTTTAGAGCCAGCCTGGGCTGTGTGAGACTCTGTCTCAAAATACAAAATAAACATACATCTTGCCATATCTTTTTTCTCTTTTAAATATTATATTTATTTCTTTTCATTTTATTTTTTCTGTATGGGTATTTGCCTGCATGTGTGTCTATATACTATGTGCATGCCTAGGGCCTGCAGAGAGGCCAGAAAAATGTGTCACATCCCCTGAGATTTGAGTTACAGATGACTGTGAACTACCCTGTGGGTGCTGGGAATTGAACCTGGGTCCTCTGGAAGCAGACCACTTAACCACTGAGCTATCTTTCCAGCCCTCATCAAGGATTTATTTACCAGACACAAAAGTGTGGTTCCATATATGGAATTTTTTTTTTCTGAGATTGGGTCAGGTTGGCCTACAACTCATGATATTCCTTTTTCAGTCTCCCACGTCCTGGGATTACAGGTGTATGTCCTATGCCCAGTTTACAAAATGCTATTGTCTTAGTTAGGGTTTCTATTGCTGTGAAGAGACACTATGACCACGGCAACTCTTACGAAGGAAAACATTTAATTGGGGCTGGCTTACAGTTCAGAGGTTTAGTCCGTTATTATTATGGTGGGACATGGCAGCATGCAGGCAGACATGGTGCTGGAGAAAGAGCTGAGAGTTCTACATCTTGATCTGCAGGCAGCAGAAGCCACTGTGTACCACACTGAACATAGCTTAAGCAAAGGAGACCTCAAAGTCCACCCCACAATGACACACTTCCTCCAGTAAGGCCATACCTACTCCAACAAAGCCATGACTCCTAATAGTGCCACTCCCTATGAGTTTATGAGGGCCAATTACATTCAAACTATCACAGATATTAACAATGATTATTGTTAGATTATTGTTTGCTATACTGTCCTCCATGTTCTCCCATTGATTTTGTTCTCTCCCTTTTGGCCTTCATTTCTTCCTTTTTTCTTCTCTTCCTCCTCTTCTTTTTTTCTTCTTGAAACTAAGTCTCCTGTATCCCAGACTGGCCTTAAACTTACTCTGTATTAGAGGGTGATTTTGAATTTTTTTTTATCCTTTTGCTTCTACCTCCTGAGTGCTGAGATTAAGTTATGAATTACCATACCCAGTTTATGTAGTACTGGGGATTGAACCAGGGCTTCACAAATGCTAGGCAGACCCTTTACCAGCTGAACTACATCCCTAGCCCATCTTATCTTCTTTTAAATGTTTTCTCCTGTATTTTTTTTATAACCCAGACTATTATCCATTCATCTATTTACCCCCCCCCCCCCCCCCCCCCACATACTTTGTCATATGCTAGGAATCAAACTCAAGGCTCCAGTACCACATAAACTGAGTATGGTAACACATACCTTAATCCCAGCACTCAGGAGGTAGAGGCAGCAGGATAAAAAAATTCAAAGTCACCCTCTAATACAGAGTGAGTATAAGGCCAGTCTAAGATAAAGGAGATTTTTGTTTTTGTTTTTAAAAAGGGAGTTACATCCTCAGCCCTCTGTTAGTGGTTTGTTGTTTTGTTTTAATAATATTTCGCTTTTGTCTTTTTTTTATCAATGTTATTACTCTCTGGAGTCTTGTTTACGTCTACAAACAAGAATGGCTATTGCAGATCCTACTTTGACCAAATTTGTTGATGTGATAGTCAGCTTTCTGTCATTATAACATAATACCTGAGGCAATTAACTTTTATAGAGAAAAGGTTTGACTCATGGTTTGGGAAGTTACAGTCTGACATGGTGAGCTGAGTACCCTTTGCTTTGAGGTCTCTAGCAAGGGCTGCATAGGGTGTCAATCTGTTGGAGCAAACCACTCACCTCATGAGCCAAGAAACAAACTAGGACAAGCCAGAGTTGCACAAGTACCCTTCAAGGGTGTATACCTGGTGACCTTAAGACCTTGTACAAGGCCACACCTCCTGAACATCTCAAATTCTCCCAATAGTGCCAAGCTAAGGGCCAGGGCTTGAATAATGGACTTCGGGGCACATTTAACATTCAGATTATAGTATTAGATTTTGGAAACAGCTCTATCTGCCTGATGGACATTCAGAACCACCATACTGTTTAAAATTTCCCCCGCACCATAGACATTTTACTTCTAGTAATGTAGTATCCTTTTTTCTTTTTCTTTTTTTTTTTTTAGTGACCATGTTTTCAAACATCTGACTCACACTGTCAAAAATAGAAAGCAGCAGGTACCAGTAACAGGTATGATTTAAAATGTTTCTTCTTTGTTTTTTCAAGGAAATAGGTATTTGGATGGCTGAAATTCAAATGTAAATTGGTTATTTGCCCTATGTAAGCCATACTTTTGACTCTGGCACACCTGCCTTTATTGCTATTTACTCATATCCAGAATCTTTCTCTTTATCCACTAAGAGACTAGATATGTAGTAGTGAGAGAAAATGTATGAAAATTTGAGGCTTAATAAATATTATAAATTTCAGAACATTTTCATTAAACAAAAAATCTTATGTTTTGCATTTTCTTTCAGATCCATTTACATTGTGTTTAGACATAATAGATAAAGAAGTTGGTTTTCAAGCAACTGACAAAATGTTGAATTATAGGTGCTCAGGTGAGTATTTTTTTAATTATAATAATCTCATAATTGAATCTATATCTGCTATTGGTTAACTAGAATTTATGATACTTATACCTTATAATTTAATTTAATCTCCTTTGAATTTTGAAAGCATTCAAGTCAATATTGTCTATTTTGCATTAGGCCATGCCCACTTGAATAAATGCAATTAGTATTTCTATTTTTGTTTTTGTCACAACACTGTCTATAACTTTAAATGAGGAAGATAAATATGTTTTCAGAGAGCAGAGAAATAGGTATTTATTCTATATTATACTCTAAACAGGTATTAAGTATTCCATATATAGTTTTATATTTCTCATAAGTTTATTAAAGTTCCTAGTGTCCCATGCCCCACTACTGATTTTTTTTTCTATAAGATCTCATTGCACTTATCCAAACCTTTCTCTTCTTCACACCGTACCATTTCTTGTTTTTTCATACTCACTGTTCTATAGAGAATACCGAGGTTGCTCCATGTTCAGTTCAGCACATCACTATTCTATTTTGGATGAAGACTTTCATCTCTGTTACTCTGAAGTTGATGTATAACCATAATATGAATCCCATATTCTTTCTCTTCTGTCTAATATAATTGTAAAATCTTTTCTGCAGTCCCTTCCTTTAAATTAGCACACCTGTATTCCAGCTACTTAAGAAATTGAGGCACTCTGGGCAGTGGTGGCACGTGCCTTTAATGCCAGCACTCAAGAGGCAGAGGCAGGCAGATCTCAGTGAGTTTGAGGCCAGCCTGGTCTACAGAGTGAGTTCCAGGACAGCCAGGGCTGCACAGAGAAACTTATCTTGAAAATCCAGGAAGAGAGAGGGAGAGAGGGAGAGAGGGAGAGGGGGAGGGGGAGGGGGAGGGGGAGGGGGAGAGGGAGGGGGAGGGGGAGAGAGAGAGAGAGAGAGAGAGAGAGATTCATTTTGAGGAGATTGAGATTCATTTTGAGGAGATTGAGGCAGGAAGGATTATTAGCACCTAGGAATTCTAGGCTAGTTTAGGCAGTGTAATACCACTTCATCTCTCAAACACTCAGGCAAACAAAGTCACATTTCTATTGCTATGAAGAGACACCATGACCAAGGCAACTCTTATGAAAGAAAATTTAATTGGGGACTTGCTTACTGTTTCAGAGATTTAGTCCATTTATCATCATGGTGGGGAGGATGATGGCATGCAGGCAGGTGCTGGAGCAATCGCTGAGAACTACATTATGATTTGTAGTCAAAGAGAGGGAGATTCTGGGTTTTTGAAACCTCAAAGCCCACCTCTAGTAACACACTTCCTCCAACAAGGCCACACTCCCTAATTCTTCTCAAGTAGTGCCACTCCCTGATGACGAAGCTTTCAAATATGTGAGCCAATGGGACCATTCTTATTCAAACCACCACAGACAACATTAATATGAGAAACGTGGTTTAATCTCAAGTTTCTCTATACTGCTTTTGAGACAAGATATCACACTGTAATCCAGGCTGACTTGGAACCAACTGTGTAGCCTAGGCTAGCCTGAGATTGAGCTGTGAGCCATCACTCCCAGATTAACCTAATGTTTCAGTGCTGAAACTCTGGGCTCCTTGATCTAGGTAGTTCATGACTAATAGATGCTGATCATTGTTGTACTTTCCTTATGAATTTCACAGCATTTATAGTACCCTCTTGAGTTCATTACAGAATACCTAGGCAGATAGATTACATCCATTTGTCCTACCTGAACCAGGCTTAGTTTTCCTCATATTAAAAATCCAAATATTTGGTACAATTTTCTTTCCCTTTAAATGTTCATCTACTCTACATTCTCTTTTTTTTTTTTTTTAAAGAGAGAAGAGGAATTATGTGTGTGTGGGGGTGGGGGTGGGGGGTGTTTTGCTTACATGTGTGCCTATGTATCAATTGTGCCTGATGCCCAAACAGGCCAGAACAGAGTGTCAGGCACCCCAGAATTGAAGTTACACACTGTTGTAAGCTGTCATGTGGGTACTGGGAATTGAACCCTGGTCCTCTGAAGGAGCAGTCAGTGTTCTCAACCACTAAGCCATCTCCCCAGCCCTGAGAGGGATCTTTTGAGATGAAGTTTGATTGTGTAGCCCTAGCTTGCCTTAAATTTGCTGTGTAGACTAGACTTGTCCTGAACTTTCAGTGATCCTCCTGCCTTTGCCCTCCAAGTGCTGGGATTATCAGCATGTATGACTGTGCCAGTGTATTTTTCTACATTTATTGCTGATTCTTCTTGATTCCTTCTCTCTATACAGTCATTCCCTTAATTCCCTCAAGCGTTCGCTTGCTTTCTTGTCCACTATCACACATACTCTTTCCATCACTGAGGAATGAACCTAGGGGCCTTGCACATATTAGACAAGTGCTCTACTACTACTTTGTCATGTCCCTCCTCTCTTTCTTACCATTCTTCTTATTTTTATATGTTAAAGCTACCTAAAGCCTCACTTTCCCTCTAAAACCAGTTAATTGATTTAGTTATTTTTGTTATTTTATTGAACTTTAAATGTTTACCTGGAGCATTTTTCCACTAAAACTAGGACTTATTCATTATTGATTTTTTTAATGTTATTGACATTGGGTCTCATTTTATAGCTCTGTTACTAATGGCCAGGGTTAGGATCATGTGTTTTCAGGTTTTTGACCTCTTATCCGATGTAGGTGGAGTTTTTCTGTCCCACCAGCCTAATCACAAATAACCACACAGAGACTTATTATTAATTATAAATACTCAGCCAATAGGTTAGGCTTGTCTCCAGCCATTTCTTTTCTTTTTTTTTTAAAATAATTTTATTTAACTTTATTTTATGTGCATTGGTGTGAAAGTGTCAGATCTCCTAGAACTGAAGTAACAGACAGTTGTGAGCTGCCATGTGGGTGCTGGGAATTGAACCTGGGTCCTCTGGAAGAGCAGACAGTGCCCTTAACCACTGAGCCATCTCTCCAGCCCTCCAGCCATCTCTTACAACCGAAATTAATCCATTTCTATTAATCTATATGCTGCTCTGAGGCTTGTTTACCTCATCCCTGAACTTGCCATGTTGCTTCTTCCACATCTGACTCCACCCTTTTGCTTCCCAGCATTCTCTCTGCCCCAAAATCGTGCCTGTCTATTGGCCAGTCAGGTTTTTTTTTTTGGGGGGGGGGGTTCTTTTTTTTTTCGGTTTTTTCGAGATAGGGTTTCTCTGTGTAGCTTTGCGCCTTTCCTGGAACTCGCTTTGTAGACTAGGCTGGCCTCGAACTCACAGAGATCCGCCTGCCTCTGCCTCCCGAGTGCTGGGATTAAAGGTGTGCGCCACCATCGCCCGGCGTCAGGTTTTTATTAATAATGCAAGCAACACATTTTCACAGTGTACAAGAGAATTATTCCACAGCATTTCCCTGTTTTTGTCTAAATAAAAAAGGAAGGTTTTAACTTTACCATAGTAAAGTTATATACAACAAAAACAGTTATCATGTAAGAATTATAGTTACCATAGCCAGTCCATTTGTATTTGGCAAATTTAGAGAAAATACTCTGCTATTTATCTTATCTTTCTGAGTCTAAAGTTTTATACCTAGTTTACCTTTTGTCATAAATAATTAAGTCTAATTATTTAGCCTTTAACTCCATCAAAGACTTCAGAAGGCTATAATGTTGCTTAACAACAGGGACATCTGGCTGCCTGGTTAGTCACCCAAAGTTCTTTTGTAACATTGGAGCATCCAGCTATGGCCTACAGGTCTAGTATATTTGACAGACATTTTTGAGAAGCAGGGAATTTTGAGGGACTGCCCTACCTTGTATTGGCAAATATTTGGCAGTACTTTCTTTTGTGTCCTGCTGGTCCAGTTTGGACAACATACTGTCAGCAATTGACACAAAGGCAGTTTCCTGCCCAATGGCTAACTTTTGCCACAAAGAAAGCAAACTCCATATGGAGGTTCTTTGGTGCCCATCATTTTATCTAACGTAGATTGGCACTGCCAGGTGCAGATGTGTCTCACTGTCATGAAAAGCCTTAGGTTATTAAACATATTGAATGCCAAATTCTATAGGTCTTTGAAGTGTTTGAAGACTATCTAAATATATCTGTTTAACCTTGAAAATATACTTAATAGGACTACAAGTTTGATTACTGTAGATACTACTAACCTGTATTTTATAATTATACATTATAATTTTTTATTTAAATTTTTTTTTTCATTTTACATACCAACCCCAGTTCCCCATCTCTCCTCTTCTCCTGCCCCCTACCATCCCACCCCCCCATCTACTCCTCAGAGTGGGTAAGGCCTCCTTTGGGTAGTCAACAAAGTCTGCCATACCAAGTTGAGGCAGGACCTAACCCCTATACATTATATTTTTAAATGAGCTGCATATGCATAATACCCCAAACGAGAGTAGAAACATACATACAGTATAACAAAATTAATTTTAAGTCTATATCAATAAACCAAAATCCATACCAATGTAAAATATTTTATGATTAATAGTTACTTTTAGGATTAAAATAGATTCAATAATCTACCTTTTTTTCCTATCATTCCTATATCATAATCCCCTTTTTTTTCTTTTAGAAAGAGATCTTTGAGTTTCACTCTTTTGTTTAGCTTTTTTCCTATGACCAATAAAATCTTGTAATCATCCCCCCTTAAGTAATAACACACATCCATAACCCATCGTTTGGGAATGTCAGAGTCATTCTCTAGACTACTTCCTGTTGTTTGTGGTGCTGATATCTTTAGGGGAACCTTGAGAAAATTAGGATAATTGTTAAGTCTTGACTGGAGTAGTTTATAAGGTTGGACCATCTCATCCAGCAGCTTTGAAACTATTTTGGATGCAGGACTCTGAGGAGACTGTAACAGAGGCATTTTGCGGTGCTAGATCACCTGGGCCATCTGTTTTCATTGGTGTCTGGTCCCCTTGTTCTGAAAATACATAAACTTTTAAAGGTAACATACATGTCTGTATTAATACAAGTATAGATTGTATGTTGCACACAAGTTAGCCAAAGATGATTTTTTGTTTTATGTTTGAGCAGGTAAAATATACATTATGTGTTTTGTAGTCTTTTTAGGTTTATTTCTTTATGTCTATAGCCAGGATTTTCAGGGGGTCTTTCCCGATCAACCTGGAATGAATCCACATCCTCTCATTTCCAGTGGAAATAAAAGCATAACCTCTTCCCCAAAGTGATATCTTTTGGCATCCATTTTGAAGTCAAGACATTTTTTAAAAATAATATAGGTTGGTTTAATCCAGCAATTTTCATAATCCAATGTGTCTTAGCAGCTGTTGTTCCTTCATTAGAAGTAAGAAAATCTAAAGACAGCACAATACCTACAAAATCTAGACTGTGTATTTCCCATTTTTATGTGGCTTATTTTTTTTTTTTTACTTTTTATTTTACTTTGCTCTTTTTTTAAAGACTTAATTTTTAAACTAATTTTTTTAAATCTATGACTATATATACTCTTCTCTCTCCCAAGCCTGTGTATATTTTTAAACACACTGAAACCCGTTTAGAGGTTTTTTTCCATCTGGATCTGTCTTTACTGAGCATCTGTAGTAGTCTTTGATTGCATCAGACGAATCTTAAAGTGCTGTGTCGGCCCCAGCACTGCTCAGCTTAGTGAATGGCACTATCCCATGGTAGTTGACAGCTGGCTTCATCCCACAGGCAGCTGCTGGGAGATGTGTCTCTGTATTGTGGCCAGCATGAGAGACATGAGACTAGGAAGCCACATTCAGATCTGTTTTTTGTGTATTTAGAAACTTTTTTAAACTTTCTTGGTTATTGTGTAGATGTAGGTGCCAGACATTTGGGCCCCATTTGTAGGTGGAGTTTTTCTGACTCGCCAGCCAGCTCCCAAATAACCACACAGAGACTTATTATTACTTTTAAATTCTTGGCCCATAGCTTAGACATGTCTCTGGTCAGCTTTTACAACTTAAATTAACCTATTTCTATTAATCTATGTGCTGCCCCGAGGCTCATTTACCTCATCTATGAACTTCTCATGTTGCTTCTTCCATGTCTGACTTGTGAGTCCTCTGACACTGCCCTCCTTCTTCCCAGTGTTCTCTCTGCCCTGAAAATCCTGCCTATTTTGGCCAATCAGCTTTTTATTAACAATGTGAGCAACACATTTTCACAGTGTACAGAAGGATTATTCCACAGCAAAGCATTGAAAATAAGGGCTCACGTGGATGTACAAAAGTAACAAGGTAACTTTATTAAGAACCAATCAGTAGTACAGATTAGAGAGGGATACACTGTCAAGATTGACAGTGGGCTCTATTAGAGTACTTCAGGACTCCAATTATTGTTTGGGCCTCAAGAAAAGAAGTTTAGTTGTTAAAAGGTATAGCATGAGCATTCTCTGGTTTGATTGATAAATTAGGTTATATAATCATCCTACTGTGTATGGCCCTCCCCATAATGCATCTGATTTTAATCATGTGCCCATTCAGTTATCCATAGGCGTAGGATGGTAAATAGGGAAATCTTCCTAAGCATTTACTTGAGAACACTGTTTGTCTTATTGTATATGAACCCCAAAACAAGTTCAGGCTGGATCGGCCTTTCTATTCCTCATATACAGATACACTGGGAATATACATTTGAATAGAAATTGTCTACAATTAGGGCAGTGGTTAAGAGCCATACTGCTTTTGGAGGGGACCTGAGTTAAGGTTCCAACATCCACTGCTCACAACCACCTCTAAATCTAGCTCCCGGGGATCTGGCACTCTAGTCTGTCTTCTGTGACTATATTAGTTACTGTCCTATTGCTGTGATGAGACAACATAATGAAAGCAACTTAGACAAGAAAGCATTTAATTAGGGCTTTGCTCACAGTTTCAAAGGGTTAGTCTGTGATCATCATGGGAACAGGCAGCCCTGGTGCTAGAGCAATAGCTAAGAGTTTACATCTTATCTGCAAGATGAAGACATGTAGAAAGAGAGCAAGAGTGGGCCTGGCATGGGCTTTTGAAACCTCCAAAGCCAACCCCCCCCCCCCCCCGTGACACACCTCCAACAAGGCTGAACCTCCTAATTCTTCCTAAATAGTCCACCAGTTGGAAAACAAACATTTAAATATATAAGCCTATGGGAGTCTTGTAGCCATGCATGCACGCGTGCGCGCGCGCGCGCGCACACACACACACACACACACACACACACACACACACACACACTTAAAAATAAAAAAGTAAGGGGCTGGAGAGATGGCTCAGCAGTTAAGATCACTGTCTACTTTTTCAGAGGACCCATGTTCAATTCCTAGCACCCACATGGCTGTTCCCAACCATCTATAACTACAATTCCAGGGGATCCAACATCCTCTTCTGACCTCCTTGGGCACTACATGTATTTGGTACACAGATAGGCAAAGCACCTATTAAAAATACTATAATAATAATGATGATAATAATATAGCCTGTAAGTTTGTTGTCAAGGAAGAAGAAACTTATTCCATTGTTCAGAGAAAGGTATATGTATAGTCTGATGCAGATTTGTACATAGGAGTATAATGTCCAAGATTATTTAGTGCATTGTTCAGAAAGAGTTGTTTGTACATAATATAACTAACTAGGCAATGGAACTAGTCTGCTGTATTGCTTTTCTGTTGCTATGATTAAGCACCATAACCAAGACAACTTACAGATGGGAAGAGTTTAGTTTGGCTTATGGTTCCGGAGGGGGAAAGAGTCCCCCATTATGGCAGCAGGCATGGTAGCAGACGCAGAAAGCTGAGAGATCATATCTTCAACCACAAACATGAAACAAAAGAAATGGATTGAAAGTAGGATAAGGCTCACCCCTATCAAGGTACTTCTCCAGCAATGCTGCACCACGTCCACCTCTCCAAACAGCACCATCAACTGGGAAACAATATTCAAATACCTGAGCCTATGGCGACATTTCTCATTCAAACCACCACAGCTGCCAAGTGCATTCTTAGAAGAGGAGATTGTTCATAACCCAACTACATACAGTCTCAGATTGCTAAACTTGTCCCTGTGATTGCCTGCCTCAGGTCTGTTGGGCCTCAAACATGTGATGACCCTCTTGTCTCTGCCTCCAGAGTGCTAAGATTACAGGCATGCATCACCATGCCCAGGCTTGTTAATTTTTTTGAGTCTTTTATTTATTTTGAATCTTTCCATATAGCCCAAACTGGCCTCAAACTTGTGATCCTCTTTCCTCTGCCTTTAGAGTACTGGAATTGTAGATGTGCACTACCACACCTAGCTAAAACCAGTGGCTTAAGAAAATTCTTTGTAGCCAGGTGGTGGCAGTACATGCCTTTAATCCTAACACTCAGGCGGCAAAGGCAGGCAGATCTCTGAGTTTGAAGTCAGTCTGGTCTACAGAGAGATTTCCAGGATGTTCAGGACTACATAGAGAAATCCTGTCTCAAAAAAAAAAAATTTCTTTGTAAAAAAATTATTTTCATGTATATGTGTGTTGTTATGTGAGTTCATGTACATCATGTGTGCAGCAGTCCTTGGGAGTCCGGAGGGCATTGGATCTCCTGGAAGTGGAGTTGCAGGAAGTTGTTAGCCACTATATGGGTGTTGGAATCAAACCAATCTCCTCTGCAAGAATAGCAAGTGCAGCCAGGTGGTGGGGCGCACGCCTTTAATCCAGCACTCGGGAGGCAGAGGCAGGCGGATCTCTGTGAGTTCGAGACCAGCCTGGGCTACAGCGCGAGTATCAGGCCAGCCAGGGCTACACAGAGAAACCCTACCTTAAAAAGAATTGACTTTCTATGATTTAATAATTATGAAACTAGGTGAAGTAAACACAAATGTTTGTTATGCTCTGCACTTTACTCTTAGGTGTTTAAAATGTTCCACAATATTAATGTTTAAAGCAAAAAGAAAATTGAGCATAAAGAACACTTCTGTACTACTTTTCTGTTGCTATGATAAAATACCTTAACCAAAGCAACTTAGAGAAAGAAGGTTCCAGAGAGATAGGAGTCCATCACTGTGACCACCATGTGAGCTAAGAGCTTACATCTTGAATTACAAGAATGAAGCAAGGAGAGTGAACTGGAATGGCACCAATCTTTAAACTCTCAAAGCCCACTGCCACTGACACACTTCCTGAACCTTCCTAAACAGCACCACCAGCTAAGGACCAAGTATTCAAATGCCTGAGACTATGGGCGACATTTCAAACCATCACAACTTCTTTAGGTACCTTCCTTTAATAGCTCAAAACCAAACCAACATAGATACTTCTTGTTTCTTTTTCTTTTCTGTTTGTTTATTAGAGACAGTCTCATATATCCTAGACTGGCCTCCAGTTCACTATGTAAGCAAGGATAGCCATGAACTTCTGATTTTCCTGCCTCTGCCTCCTAAATGCTGGAATTACAAGTGTGTGCCCAATTTTATGCTGTGCTAGGGATTTAATCCAGAGCTTTGTGAGTGTTAGGCAAATACTGTACCAACTGAACTAATCCTTAGCCCTTTTTCTTTTTTAGTACTGAGAACTGAACCTAGGGCTTTGCACGTGCTAGACGAACACTGTACATTGACCTGTAGTAGCCCTTTACTTTTTTGTTTTATTTTGTTTGAGACCAGGTTTCACAAAATTGCCCAGGCTAGCCTTGAAGTTGCAAACCTCCTGCTCTCCTGCCCTGGCCTCTTAAGTACTTAGGATTGTAGGCATGTGTTGCCACAGTGGGTTGGATGCTTCTTTTCTGTGTGGCCGTAACTGTTCACACCTCTACCCCAACCCTTATTTCTTTGTATTTATTTTCTTTATTTTCTGAGATGAGTTGAGGTTTCTTGAAATACTTATAAATTCTTAATTCACTTTAGTTTATCATCTTAGAGGTTATCTGCTTTCACAGAGTTATTAGTATATAATTTTGTAACATCTGTACATCAACTTAATTTGTTTCCTTTCAGGTTGCATAGTGGTAAGAAAACTCAACAGCCGAAATTTTAGCAAGCTTTTGCACTCTTGTGCATACCAATGTGATCATCATAAAGTCATTATGGAAGCTGAAGATAAATATAAAAGTGAACTAAGGAAAGGATTTATCTGTGACAAAGGTAATTAATTCAGCAACTTTAACTGTAATTATGGCTATACATTCTGAACTATCAGCTAAAGTATTAAGTATATTGACTAGAGTGTAAAATACTATTGGAAGGAAAACCATATCTCTAGGTTACCATTAGCTTAAGATATACTAGAGTAGATTTAGTCTATTCTAAAAATTCTCCCTAAACTGGGCATGGTGGCACACACTGATATTCTCAACCTTTGGGAAGTACAGGCAAGAGAATCAGGAATTCAAGGCTATACAGAGTTTGGGGTCAGCCTGATCTATCTGATACCCTGTCTCAAAAAACAAACAAAAAAAGATCTAGGTATGGTGGCACATGTCTTTTATTTCAGTACTTTGGAAGCAGAGTTAGGCAGATCCCTGAGTTCAAGGCCAGCCTGGTTTACATAGCTAGTTCTAGGACAGCCAGGGCAATACTGAGAAGCCCTATTTCAAAACCAAGAACAAAAAAAAGGTGGGTCTGGGGGGATGGCTCAGCAGTTAAGAGCACTTGGCTGCTCTGACAGATGACCCAGGTTCATTCAGTTCCAGCACTCACATGTGGCTCACAACCATCTGTAATTCCAGTTCCAGGGAATCCAGCACCCTTTTTAGGCACAAATGTAGTATACATGCACACATGCAAGCAAAACACTCATACATAGTAAGAAATATAATAAATAATTAATTCTAGTCCACTTAAGGATTTCCACTAGAAGAGGGTAAGCAGTATCATAGTATAATAGAGTTGATATGTAACTATTTAGATTGATATTCTAGGTATACTAAATGTTTTCTATATTTTTCAGAAATTTTGCTGACTCCCCGTAGAAGAAGACAACTTAGTAAAGAATCTACTGCCCCTGAAGGACTAAGTGAGTATATTTAATTTTTAAATAAGCTTAAATTCTCCATATTCCTAAAAAGAAGAGAGCAGCTGAATGACTGTTCTCATTAATTATGTAAAATGATAACCCTTGGCTTGTATGAGATTATACCTACTGAAAAGAGACACCCTCTTCCTCCTTTATGGTGTTTGTTTACTTGCTGCCTGCCACCTGAGAAAGGAGCTCTAAGAAACAGACATTCCTTTTTTTATTTATTTTTAATTAGTTTTGTAGATTTTATATATTTTTCTTTTATGTGTATGAATACTTGCCTGCTTGTATATATGTGCACCATGTGCATGCAGTGCCCATGGAGGCCAAATAAGACATCAGATCCCCTGGACATCTAGAAACTCTGATCAAGTACTTCAGAGAGACTTTACAGAAGGCTTCTGTTCATAACTATAGTATTTTAAACAGTAAAAATTGGAGTGACAAATAGGATAAATTAAGTTTCTCTTTTAACAAAAACCCTTAGTAAGTTAGCTTATAGAAACTTTAGGGAGTGAGGAGTCATCTGGAGTGCTTGCTGTACAAGCACGAGGACCTGACTTTGGATCTCTAGCTCCCACATAAATGGTGGACATGGTGGCACATCTGTAATCCTAGTGCTGGGAGGGCAGAGACAGGCAAATCCCTGAACCGGCAGGCCATCCAATCCTGCCAATAGGTGAGTTTCTGGGTTAGCTAGAGAATGTGTCTAAATAATTAAGGTGGCAAGCAATAAGAGGAAGAAACCCAAAACTGACCTCTCTGGCTTCCGAAATACATACTGATTAATTATGCAATTTTAAATTAACCATAAGGTTAATGTCTCTGGCTTTTCATCATTCCAAATTTATCAAAGAGATTTCAAGAGCATTATCATTTTCTTCTAATCCTAGGAAGATAATACCTTTGGGCTAAGAACATGAAGTGGGGTCCATTACTTGTTACTGTTATCTGGAGATTAGTAATATTAGTAGAGCTTCCCTGTTGTTTATTACAGACTTTTGGACTTAGTATATCCAACAAGCATTTTGTCTCACTTAACATTTATTTGGTTATTTTCACAGCCAAACCTTGAAAGCCACTTAAAATTTACTTCATACATCTTGAGTCTTTTTCTACATTAAAAGTTATTCATGGAGCTGGAGAAGTAGCTCAGCAGTTGAGAGTGCTTACTGTTCTTGTACAGGTCATGGGTTTTATTTCCAGTACCCCTATCAGGTGGTTCATCACCACCTGTAACTCAATTTCCAAAGGATCTGATGCCCGCTAGCCTCCAAGCGTGCCTGCATTCATGTGATTCACATGAACCTATTAGGCTCATACATATATATATATAAAATAAATAAATTTTTTTAAAATTCTTCATAGCTAGGCAGTGGTGGTGCACACCTTTAATCCCAACACTCGGGAGGCAGAGGCAGGCAGATTTTTGTGAATTCGAGGGCAGCCTGGTCTACAGAGAGTTCCAGGACAGCCAGGATGGTTACACAGAGAAACCCTGTCTCAAAAAACCAAAAGAATTTTTTCATGTAGAACCAGGTGTGGTGGTGTGTTCCCACCCAAGCCCTCAGGAGGCAAAGGCTTGAGAATTGCTGGAATTCAAGGCCAGCATGGTCTACATAGCAAATTCTAGGCCAGCCAGAGTACACACACCAAGAGCCTGTCTCAAAAAATACAAAATCAACAAAAAGATTATTTATGTAAGTTAAAATTAAATACAGTGCCACTCTATTAGATACTGCATAGATCAATATTCCAAGTGCTGGGATAACAGGTACGAAGCACTGTTCCTGGCATGAAATGCCTATTTTTCCAAGTAATAGTTTCTTTAGTAGCTACTACAAAATGGGAATTTTTACCTATACAGACATTCTGCCCTTAGAAATTTTGTTCTTAGTCCGGCATGGTGGTACATGCCTTTTATCTCAGCAGTTGGGAAGCAGAGGCAGGTGGATCTCTGTGAGTTTCAGGACAGCTAGGGCTACTACACAGAGAAACTTTGTCCCAGAAAACCAAAAAAAAAAAAAAAATTGTTCTTGGCAAGGACTTGAGATCAAATTATTTATAGATTTTTTTTCAGTAATGTCTTCAAAGTAAATAAATAACTAAAAATTAGTCTATAATTAATTTACATTGAAAAATAATCAGCAAGCCCCATGCAAATGGACATAATTATGATTATACACTAATTATACAGAGTGATCCTAAATTAAGAGATCAAGCCTGGAATATTTAGTATGTGACCATTTTTTTTCCCCTTGATTAATTTGCCTTTCATATTAGGTGTCTCACTCTACCATTCATTTAACTGTAGTTTATACTCAGATTTGAGCTTATCGTTTTGAGGAAGGGCAATGTACCATGTAAGTATTGAATACTCCTCCAAAGTTCTTTTTAGGATAGCTTGCTATGTTGAGAGAATTTGACAAGTAAAACTTTCTAGAATTAAGCCCTCTTGCTCATTTTCTTCTCTAACACTCAGTGGATACTAAGAATAGCACTGAGGCTGGATGTGTGACTCATGTCTCTAATCCCACAACTAAGGTAGAAGGCTCATAAGTTTGAGGCAAGTGTGAGCTATATAGCAAGATTTTCTAGAAGCCTAATGAAAAAATAATAACAATAAATGTTTTAAAATTTCACTCAAAAGGCTATGGAGTGAAGCCTTGAAGTGCAGAGTCTATAGAATTTGTAAGTCAGGGAAATGGCAGCCTCAGTGGAAATGGGGGACTTTATGTGAACAACTTTAAGGCCTCTATCCTAAAAGTTATAACCTACCCAGTCCTGAATACAAGGAGATAAGTCATTTATCAAGTGAAGCTTCAAAGAAACTTGGGTAACAATAGTTTTCCAGCATTCCCCAAGCTAAGGAGTAACTTCATGTACAAGTTTTGAGGCAGTTTTATCAATAACATTTTTTCTCATCAATAAATAAATAGAAATTTCTCTTCATAAATGATTGTCTACTATGTCTGAAATACTGTTCTGAGCCTGGAGAAATACAGTGGTAACTAAGCTATTCAGAAGTCTCGCCCTTCATGGAGCTTGCATTTTAAATACTAAGTAATAATCGACTTCTCAGCATCTGCTAGGAAGATGTTCTCTTTTGTTTTAAACCATCACATTTACCTTAGGAAGGTAGACAAATGGCCAGCAGTGTTGGCTTGTATGGGTCAAATTTTATACATCCATTCCTTCTAAAGTAAGTAGCAGCCTCAGGCAGAAATGCTAAAGCACGTCTCTCTGGCATCTGGCTACAGTGCCACACAAGTTACCATTGAACTCCAAAGTTGGAGGAAACCTATTTCCTGGGGCTGGAGAGAGAGACCAGCAGTAGAAGTGCTTACAACTAAGCCTGATGACCTGAGTTTGATCCTCAGAACCCATATCAAAGTGGAAGAAAAGAACTGACTCCACAAAGTTGTTCTCTGATCTCTACATGCATGCCATGGCATGAGTGTGTTCATACATATCACACACACACAGTAGTAGTAAAACTATTTCCTCATAATAGTCACCAAGAGATAATTGAAATAACGGTTTACCAGCTGTGTATTCTTTCTGTTTTAGAACCTACTCATCAAAAACCAGACAGTCAAAAACTTCCAGACTTGGAGGAACATGCCTGTAATACCAACATTCCAGAGGCTAAGGCAAGAAGATTCCAAGTTCCAGGCCAGCATGGACTACATAGTGAGTTTGAGGCAAGCCCATGCTACATAGGAAAAGCCTGTCTCAAAAAAAGAAAAAGAGAAAAGAAAAGATAACCTACAAACTTCTTTTTCCATTATGTAACCCATTCTGCTTTTATATTTTGATAAGCTGAGCACCCCTATAGATAGTACATGTGTTTTATTTTTAAGTGAACTTCAAAAGACTCTTATTCTTGAAAACTGGTATTCAAAATAACAAATGTTAATATTCTCTATCCTGTAAAGTTATGGAGCCTTTGAGAAGACTGTATCTGTAAGCTAGGTAAGCTGTTTGTTAACCATCCTCACAGCAATGCTGCATTAAAGTCTAATGTTTATAAACTTGCTTTTTGATTGATAGATGTGGATGTTATTTCAATGGATTGAGCTGTAACATTAAAGAAGTCACAGTGATTGCACCTCCCTTAATGATCTTTTAAACTGAAGTAAATTTCTATTTGAAAAGTGTCTCTGGCATCAAACTGTCATTCTGTAGCTTATCTCTATGGAATAAGTTACACATTTATTTGAGTCTGAAGAAGACTTCTTATTTCATCAAGTATTAATATCTTCTACAATTTCCATTCATTACAGAAAAAAGAAGAATTCGTAAAAACTTTACCAAAGAAGAAGTAAATTATCTTTTGCATGGAGTTAAAAAAATGGGAAATCATTGGAATTCAATTTTGTGGTCTTTCCCCTTTCAAGAAGGACGAAGGGCTGTAGATCTTGCTCACAAATACTACAAGCTGATCAGAAGCCCCAACTGTGCAGCCATATGACTAGAGGAGACTCAGTTTTTTGTTTTGACTCTTAAAATAGAATTTTTAGGAGATACAAAATACTAAATAGTCTTCTAAAGTCTTAAGAGACAAGAAATGATGAGAGTTTAAATGATTTTTGTGTCACAAACTCTTTAAAACGTTACAATAATTTATAAGCAAATGTATTTTCAATGTGAAAATTAGATAGAATTTCTTCATGAGGCCAAATATGTTGTGCCTTTACTTTTCCTTATAGTCAAAGAACACAGATCAGAAGAAAAAAAGTAGCAGCCTTTAAACATCACTTAACATTATATTGCCACAAATAGTGTATGAGACATTTGCATTTCAGTATTTTTGCCTAGTGCCAATGTCCACTCTAGAACTAAGAAAATTTCTCAAGCTGTTCAGCTAAGGCTCTCACTCAATAAATAAATATTTGACATTTGTTAATTGAAATGATTCCTCTTCTAAAGATTAATTACAAAATTGTATTAGTGCTCTCATATTCTGTGATCAAATTCTTGTTTTGCTCTATGTTCATTTGCTTTGTTTATTCATTACATTGTATTGATTTATTGTGTATATGTGTATGAGTGCCACAGGGCACATGTGAAGGCCAGAGAAAACCACTTGCAGAAGTTAGTTTTTTCCTTCCACTGTGTGCGTCCTAGGGGTCGAACTCAGTTTGTCAGGCAGGGCAGCAAGTGCCTTTACCCACCAAGCCATCTTGCTGGTTGCTTTAGTTGTTTTACAGTGTCTCTCATTTCCTCTTCCTGTCCTTCCACATCTTTTTTCCCTTGTTAATGAGCCTCAGCTACTTCATGCTGTAGCTCTCAAGAGCTTAATCACTGCTGGACATATTATTGTCTATTTGTAATGTATGGCCTTAGAAGGGGCTCAACTTCTCTCCTGTACCCAATTTTATGAACCTGATTTTGATGTCTTTTTACATTCTGTGTGACAATTTTCCAATAATAGCTAATATAGTTATACCTTTTACATTATTTTCAAATAATTCTATCCTGTTGGGTTTGTTTGTGATATGGTCTTTTGTAACCCAGGCTGGCTTTATACTCACTATATATCCTAGAATGGCTGCCTTTGTTTTTGTTTAGCAGATCTGGGGCTTGACCCTAGAACATTGTATTTGCTAGTCAAGTGTTCTCCCACTGAGTTACAGCCCCAGCCCTGGTTTTGTTTTTGAGACAGTATCTCACTATGCAGCCCAGGCTGGTTTTGAACTCATTATCCCCCTGCCTTAGCTTTCCAAGTGTTGGGATCATAGGTTTCTGCCACCAAGCCCAGTTTGTGGGATGCTGGGAATGTATCCCTACACCAGCACTGTTAACTGAGTGGTATCTCCAGCTCATGGTTATGTTTTTGTTAAACCCTACTGTAAGACTCTAAGAGTTCCCATTAAATTTCTCATTTTGTTAGATTTAGTCTGTGCTGTTTGTCATCCAGTATTTTTGGAAACTCTTCTGTTTCTGCTTATGTGAGTGTGCTGCTGCATTCTCCTCTCAGTCTCAGATGGTACCCTGCGTTCTCCTCTCAGTCTCAGATGGTACCCTGCGTTCTCCTCTGAGTCTCAGATGGTACCCTGCACTCTCCTCTGAGTCTCAGATGGCACCCTGCGTTCTCCTCTGAGTCTCAGATGGCACCCTGCGTTCTCCTCTCAGTCTCAGATGGTACCCTGCGTTCTCCTCTGAGTCTCAGATGGTACCCTGCACTCTCCTCTGAGTCTCAGATGGTACCCTGCGTTCTCCTCTGAGTCTCAGATGGCACCCTGCGTTCTCCTCTCAGTCTCAGATGGCACCCTGCGTTCTCCTCTGAGTCTCAGATGGCACCCTGCGTTCTCCTCTCAGTCTCAGATGGCACCCTGCGTTCTCCTCTGAGTCTCAGATGGCACCCTGCGTTCTCCTCTCAGTCTCAGATGGTACCCTGCACTCTCCTCTGAGTCTCAGATGGTACCCTGCGTTCTCCTCTGAGTCTCAGATGGCACCCTGCGTTCTCCTCTGAGTCTCAGATGGTACCCTGCGTTCTCCTCTCAGTCTCAGATGGTACCCTGCGTTCTCCTCTGAGTCTCAGATGGCACCCTGCGTTCTCCTCTGAGTCTCAGATGGTACCCTGCGTTCTCCTCTCAGTCTCAGATGGTACCCTGCGTTCTCCTCTGAGTCTCAGATGGTACCCTGCGTTCTCCTCTCAGTCTCAGATGGTACCCTGCGTTCTCCTCTGAGTCTCAGATGGCACCCTGCGTTCTCCTCTCAGTCTCAGATGGCACCCTGCGTTCTCCTCTGAGTCTCAGATGGCACCCTGCGTTCTCCTCTCAGTCTCAGATGGCACCCTGCGTTCTCCTCTGAGTCTCAGATGGCACCCTGCGTTCTCCTCTCAGTCTCAGATGGTACCCTGCACTCTCCTCTGAGTCTCAGATGGTACCCTGCGTTCTCCTCTGAGTCTCAGATGGCACCCTGCGTTCTCCTCTGAGTCTCAGATGGTACCCTGCGTTCTCCTCTGAGTCTCAGATGGTACCCTGCGTTCTCCTCTGAGTCTCAGATGGTACCCTGCGTTCTCCTCTGAGTCTCAGATGGTACCCTGCGTTCTCCTCTCAGTCTCAGATGGTACCCTGCGTTCTCCTCTGAGTCTCAGATGGTACCCTGCGTTCTCCTCTGAGTCTCAGATGGCACCCTGCGTTCTCCTCTGAGTCTCAGATGATACCCTGCATTGGCTATTGGCAGGCCTTAGCGTCTCTGGTAGCCCCTTTTCTACATACCAGGCCAGCCTCCTCTTTATTTTTCAGACACAGTCTTGTGCAGACCAGATTGGCCCTGAATTCAAGCTCTTCCTCTCTTAGCCTCCTCGGTGCTAGAGTTATAGACACATGCCACCACAAGAGGCTGGGCTGGTCTTTAACAAGCTTCAGTGTTATCATCCAGCCTATTTTCTTATTCTCTTTTGTTGTGAATTGTCCAATTCTGTTGAAATTTGCATTCCCTATCTTTGCAGCATCCTCCCACCTGATATTTCTGCAAGAAGAGAAAGCTATTGTATGCATTTGCATCTGGTGCTATCTTCTCCTTTTGCAACTAGTCATATTAGAATTAATTAATTAATGTAGTGGGGATTAAACTCGCAGGCCCAGAGTTTTCAGTCTACTGTCCTGTGAAAACTCATATACTGCTTGTCCTTGTATGACTTCCAGTATTGCCTGCTCTTTCCTCCCATTTTCCTTTTGCTAATTTACATTCAAATTGGCAGATTATATGCCTATTGTTGGATCCTGTAATTTATGATGTTAATTTTTTTTGGCAGAGCCAGAATCACACTATCCTTTTCACCTGAAACCCAGTTAGGTGATTGCTTTTTCTGCCATATCACATTTCCTTATGATATTTATCAGTGTCTTGTAACATTAGCCTGCTTCAACAGAGAACAACAAGAGCCCTCAGGTAGAGGCCATACCTACAGTTACCTCTGATAAGCACAAACATTTCTTTCTTTTCTCCATTACTTCTCCTTTTGTGTTACTACTTTACCCCTTCACATCCAGTCTGTTCCCCACTACATTCTCCACTGAAGAAAAGCAGTTACAGCCTCTTGTTTTGCTGTCAAATGTTGGCTCCCTAAAATATAGCATTTAAAAAAAAACTTGGTAAAGAAAAGCCAAGAGTGTTAACTGTGGTAAAAAAAAAATTATTCACAGTTAATAGTCTACGGAGCAGATGAAAGATAACATTAAGGATTTGTGATAGTCTTTCAATAGACATCTTGAGAATTGTGCCAAGTTTGTTACATAAGAATTTAAGAATAATGGTCATGACTGGGATGTTACCTCTATCACTGGGACTTACGGCTGTGTTTTGAGACAAGGTCTTACTATCTAGCCTTGTCTAGCCTGGAACTTAGAATGTAGACCAGGCTGGCTTCAAATTTGCAGAGATCCACCTGCCTCTGTCTCCCAAGTGCTGGGATTAAAGGCGTATGCCACCATGTCAAGCTCTTTTTATTTTTTATTTTATTTTTGAAGCAGGGTCTCATGTAGCTCATGCTCAGCTTAAACTTGCTATGTAATCTAAGACCTTGAACTTCTGGTTCCCCTTCTGCCAGCTTTCTGTTGCTAGGATGACAGGCATGCAAACTTATGCTCAGTCAGTTTTTGTAGAGCGTCTTTCATGGTAGGCCACGACTCAGCCCAGTTTCTTTTACATTTCTGAGCTATAGTTTCCTCACTTATTAAGAGTTAAGCAGGAGTCAATGAGATAGCTTGTGACACACAAGGTGAGGCATAAATGGGGCTGTCTTCCAAAGCTTGGGCTTGCAGCATCTAGGCCTGCAGGAGTCGCCAGCGCGCCCTCGGTCTGGCAGCGCCCGCGGCTCCACCTCCACGTAAGGCTGTCCGGCTCGCTGCCTGACCGAGCAACCTCCCTCGCTGCGGCGATCCTGCGACCGCTGACGCACGCGGACATCGCCAGTCGGTCGGGACGCGCTGGCTAGCGAAGCTTCTGCGGGTGGGCGGGCGGGCGGCGCGGCCCGGCCGGGGTCCTTGCGGGTCCTCGGCCGGCCCGGGGGAGGGCCCTCTTTGTGGCTGCAGTTGGCAAGATGGCGCCGGTGGGGGTGGAGAAGAAGCTGCTGCTGGGCCCCAATGGGCCCGCGGTGGCGGCCGCCGGCGACCTAACCAGTGAAGAGGAGGAAGGCCAGAGTCTATGGTGAGGGACGTACAGAGCCGCGGATGGCGTGGCCGGGCAGAGAGTGGGCCGGAGCGGGCGGTACCGTGGGCAGACATTGACCGGCAGTCGCTGGGCGAGCGGTCCTGGGCGGTCCCGCGCTGACCGCTCTTGACATTGTCGCCACAGGTCTTCGATCTTGAGCGAAGTGTCCACCCGCGCCAGGTCTAAGCTGCCCTCCGGCAAGAACATTCTGGTGTTCGGTGAGCAACTGGGTACTGCCCTGGGGCGCCGGGGTGGGCCAGGCGGTGCCCTCCCACAGGTTCCAGCCTTCTCCACCCTTACTGCCTGCTTGCCGCTGGCCGGTAGACTGGATTCTAGCAGGGCAGCCCGAGAGTCTCCAAGCCCACACCTCTCCTGACCCCAGAATGCAGCTCGGTTTGGAGTCCAGTGATGTGTGGCGTGGGCTTGTGGCACATTCCTTCAATCACTGGCTGAGCCTTCAGCCTTGACTCTCTTCATCGCTCGGTCTAGTGCTCACCAAGTTGAGGGTGTGGAGAAAGGGAAAAGAGGATGTGCAGGCTAGATGGAGAAAATGAGGGAACTAGGTGACCTGGGCTGGGAACTGAGGAGATGTCTGAAGCCTTTCTTCAGTCCTCGTGAGCAGCTGAGCAGAGGCATAAGGGACTCCCCAAAGGCGGTACACGTTGGGAGTCAGCCCCGGGAACTTTCTTGCACTCCTATTCCTGCTCTCACTACTGGGTTGCCAAGTCAGTCGTTTAATCTCTCTGGCTTCAGTTATCTCATACAAATGAAAGGGATCAGGCACCTTCACACGCAGAGCTGTTTGTGGAGCTGTTTGTGTCAGCAATGGGACAGCACAGACCATCTTAGACACTCTGCAAGAATCCCAGTCTAGCCGAGGCAGATGTGTGCGTGGTTGCACTGTATCTTTCCTGTCAAGAGCAGACCGTTGTGGGCGCATCACACTGCTTGATGTGTTGAAACAGAACTTGTGGAGTCGTCGAGTGTTTTGAAAGGTTATTGTTTAGGTGCAGGCACATAGAGATAACAAGAGGGTGAAGAGTTTGAGCACTGTTAGAAGTTTCTTGCAGTAAATGGTAAGATAAGTTGAGGTCAGATCATGAAAGACTGAAGGATTAATCCTCTTTCCTGAGGCTCCTGATTTTCACAGATTTTATCTTCCTCTGAGCCTTATGGAAATAACTGCCTGGTGGTTTCCCTGTGTTTCTCTCATCCAGGTAATGGCCACTGTGGTAGGTTACAGCCAGATATGTGCTTTAGGGAAATAACTCAGGCTGCAGAGTGCCAGGTAGATCAGAATGAGCAGGTGCTGAAGTCAGGCTGACAAACATTCACCATGGTCTAGGTGGATTGTGACCAGCATGAAAAAGGTGAGGCACTGAGGAGGGAGGATCGTTGTGGACTGCCTTTCATTTCTCATATTCTCTAATTCCATATTATTGAATCTGAGGATGTTTGGTAATAGTGGTTCTATTTTATGCTTAGGGGGTATTACGTGGGGGATGGTGCTGGATATGGATAGTCCGAGGGAGATGAGAAAGCACTTGGTACTGAGACTAAGGAGTTTTGCATAGGTCAGTAATTACTTTCTTCCCAGTTTTCATGCCTTTGGGGTACTTTTGAAGATGTTTTTAAAATCAAATGCATGTAAATAATATTTATAAACTTCATGATTATGAGACAGAATCAGATTTGTTTGTTTGCTTTTTCAAGACAGAATTTCTCTGTGT